TCGTTTAAGTACTAAACAGCTCCAACAAGCTATATGGCCGGTGAAACCATCATTTTATTGAGGTGAAATTTTGGTGACCAAATCATATCTGACTTATAATCAGTTGCTAGGTCCGTTTAACTACTTTTTGTGGAGGTTTGTGTCAATGGCCAATACTGATCTATCGACATTGGCTTACCAGTGTTAAAACAATAGTTGGCGTTATTGACAAGACAAGATATGCTGAAACAAGAGGTTCATAATTGGAATAAGCCGGAAGTTTTGCACAAGCATTAAATGCCACAAATATGCCGAACTCTATATAACTCCAAGCATCTAAAAATGCATTTATCTATATACATATGTATATATATATATGTATGTATATATAAATGAATATTTGTCTTTATATCCTTTATGGAATCGTAAACTATGCGTTTGATCATGTGATGATCATTAACAAAGTTCTTGTGAATGAGCCAAATTAGGTTTCTGAGTTGGTACAAACAGATGAACAAAATCTTTCAAATTACTCAAAATTAATTCAATATTAATAGTGTTATTAAAAAGACCCTATTTCCTATATGTGGTTTCTTTATGTTTTCCAGTAAATGAAGGGCTCTTCCAACTTTATCGTTTTACACTTTTCGTTCAATCAAATGTATTGAGGTTCTGTGAACGGGTTCAAGTGATATATTCTACTGGTGAACTCTGTGAAATTAACTTCTCCAAACTAACCAATTTTATTTGAAAAGTATCGGAAAGTTTCAGAAACAAAAATTTCTAATCAACTTCATATATATTACGTGACTATGTACTTTTCGACCACACACAAAACATAACTAGCACATACTACTTGCTACTATTAACACACATAAAAACGGATTATGCTTCCGAGTAAACAAACTGTTAAAAACGTGCTTTATCGAGTGTTTAACCAATAACTTAAAGCTTTTGTGTACTTATTTAAAATGATTTCAAGCACACGGAACAAGAATTCGCCCACAGTTTCTGTTTACATACATACTCGTAGGCAGAGTTGCGAATTTTTTAATTCATGAATTAGAAATTAGATTTTCATGTTTTAATCCCACTGTTGGTTTACACAAAAACTAGTACACTTGAGCCATGTTATACACAGCCTTTAGACTATTAACATATATATACGATTACTCTTAACAGATATGTTAGTATAATCATTCGTGCTGATCTCCCTTGAGAACCCACTGTTTTTCTAAAAACTTGAATAGTGCCACTTAAGCTTCACCCTGTACTCCAAAAAGCTAGCGGTCAGTGCCTGGCCACAAGTTAATTGCTGAAACGTGAGATTATATTATATATATATATAAAATAGCTGTCCGCAAAATCTTAATCAAGAACATGTGTATGTATTCATATTTATATATAGATATTTATATTTGAGATCTTTTTACTTTTCCAATTTGTTTATACATGCATCCTACTATAGATACATAGGTATATAGTTACACATTGAAGTTAAGAATATTTTGAAAGCACTATAATAAATAAATACAGGAAGTAATTGCAAATGTACTCTTATAATTCATATATCGCTCTTCATAAACCCGATTAATGCATTTTTGTACTCAATATCTAAGGTAACACAGTTAATCTGTCTTAGCAAAGAAAACAGCCAGTTTTGCTATAAAACTAACCTAGCGAAATGAGCTTTGAATTAGATTGTACCCTAAGTGAGCAATTATTATACCAGCTTCCGCTTAATATTGCTAATCTGAATTGATAATGATCGTACTTCTGCTCGAAAGCACGAACGGAGATTTTAAGTATCAGAGTTAAAAAAAACAAAAATACTTTGAGGAATTCAAAACACTTTATAGTGATCCAGAACCAGCCTTAAGCGCCGAAAAAATTCTGTGCAGTTGTCCTACATGAAACTTTGTGCCAGAAGTTATTAATGGGGAGCACGATGTGGTAATCCCATATCGTCAGGCAAATATCGTGAAATGAACCATTCTTGGAAATTAATATGCAGATCATTTCCAATAATTTTTAGATCAAATACGAGTAATTAAAAATAACAGAAATATGGTGTTGACTGAAGTAAAATATGGTGAAAATAATGTCTCTATATGTGTACTCGTATAATAATCGTTAAGATTCGATAACTTCATTCTATGAAAATCAAAATCATATAACGATGCTTTATACTGATCATCGAGAACAAAATTTGTTTCATCTACAGTTTCGATAACGTATGGTTTAAAAACCCTTCCGCACTAGACAGTAACTTTCTCTGTCCGATTTGGAGACTGCAACAATTTTGCTTATTTACATACGTTTTAAAACAATTAAGTACCGGGAAAAATAAGTTTGCAGTACAGAATACAAGTTTTGAAAATAAAATTTCACGAATTTAATTCGCCAAAATATTCTGAACGTAATCGTCAGCTGGTTTGACAGCTATCCCTCTAGGAAATTCCGTATCATACATCTAGTAGTTCATTGGTAAAATATAACAACTTGGAATTAAAAAATTAAGGTTCACAATATTTATTAATATCATATACATGAGGGCGTAATATCAGGTTATCGTGCGTGCCGTTATCTACAAAAACGAAGTCTTCATTACAAGCTTACATGGCCACCGAGCACATATTTGTACAAATACATATTTCTTCTTTATTTGGTTACTTCTAAGGTTGATATCCTTGACTACTGTTATTGTAAAGTTATATATTTGAGATTGTAATCATACTTATATATACAAGTATATATAATATATATCCATACATATATATCGCCCATATATGTATGTACATCTATTTATAATAGATTTTCTATTCAAATGTGTATTTATTATATGTTGAGTTATTTGTCAACTATTTATGTCAATAAATATACATTTTATTGAACAAAAGGGCGTATTTTTGGAGTATTATCAGAAATTATATATATTTTTTTTTTTACTATTTATTAATTCTTTTCGATGTTGTTTTAATTATTGTAATATGGCAATTTTCGCCAAGTGCGTAAACAACATTTAACTGTTCCTCTTTAAACATGTAAACATACATACATATATACGGATGCTTGGATATACAAGTATAGTATGCAGTACTGAGGGCTATAAAAACTTATTAAATGTGGTCCGGCCAGGTTGTTGTCGCCTTACTGACTTTTTAAGTACTCATAAATAATTTCATAATTGAATATGCAAAGTGAATATAAAAATATGCCACTTAAATAGTTAAAATATTGAACGCTTATATATATTATATTTCTGGTATATTGACAGATGCACCGGTTATATTAACATTACCGCATATGTTGGGTGCCTCCAATGAGTACACGAAAATGATACGAGGACTTCGGCCGGATGCGAAGAAGCATCAAACTTTCGTGGATGTACAGCACGTGAGTAAAATGATGAAAAAGAAATGACAAATATTCATAGAAAAATTTATAAAATATATTTAAACAAGAAAAAAATGTTAACTTCGTTTGCACCGAAGCTATAACACCCTTCACAAATACAAAAGATTCCTTATAAGAACTTGATTCCGATCGTTCAGTTTGTCTGACAGCTATAACATATATGTTATAGTTATCCGATCTGAACGATTTCTTCGGAGATCGCACCATTGTCTGAGGCAATAATCCGTGCCAAATTTCTTAAAGACATCTCGTCGAATGAAAAAGCTTTCCATACAAGCACTTTATTCCGATCGTTCAGTTTTTATGGCAACTATATGCTAGAGTGGTCCGATATCGACGGTTCTGGCAAAAGAGCAGCTTCTTTGTGAGGCACGGACATGTGCTAAATCAGTCTCAGTCAGATCTTAAAAACTGAGGTAGTTTCTGTAGTATATGAGAACTAGTTCACATATATACAGATGGACGTACAAACAAATAGACTCAGCTTGTCACGCTTATAATTTATATAGTATATGCATTATAGGATCTCCGAGGTTTCGTTTTGGGAGTTACAAACTTTGTGGCAAACTTAATATACCCCGTTCAGGGTATAAAACTATATTAAATAAATAAATAAACTTAAAATAAAAAAAATTTTAAATAAGAAAGTATGAAAAACAATTAGTTAAAAAAATATAAATATATAATATATAAAATTGTTTCATATTTACCATATTGTTTCATATTTAATTTTTGACTTTTAGCTCACCGGTACCCCGTTACAAGGCGGCAAACGCGTGCAGTTCAACATGTTCTTGAAGAGCATCAACCGCATCTCAATAACGGAAAATTTAACAACGGTACTTATGCCCGCCATTTGGGTTGAGGAGGTAAGCCATGTCAGTATCTCTTTTTTAACCGTTATTTTCAACTTTTCTGTGTCTCTCTCTTTAAGGGTATTCAACTCAACAGCGAAATGGTTGCCTTCTTCAAAAAGAAACTTATAAATTCACTCAAAACACTCAATATCATTCATTGGGCGTCGATTTGCGGTGGCATTGGCGTGGCAGCTATATGTCTGATATATTATGTAATACAACGTCGAAAGCCGGAAGCGGAAGTGGCACCGCTAAAATAAGTATTTCTAGAGAACTGTTGAGGTTTATTAAACATACGATATTCTACTAACAATATTATGTTTGTTATTGTACACATACTTACATATTTAATTTAATTTTATATAACTTTTAAATTATAATTTAATTTGTGTTTTTTTTTTTTGCTAAGATATTTTTTATTCATACGTACATATGTACATATTCTATTGTATGTATTTGTATATTTTTGTAAATATTTCCAACATTATTATAAATGTGATTGTAACATATTGTGATTTAGTATGTTATGAATTAAATAAATAATTGTAAAGCAATTAAGTTTGATTTATTGGCATAAAATTTTTTTCTAAGGTAATTGGTTACAATAATAACTTACAAAACAATAATAATCGATCAGATTGTTTCTTCGGAATAATGGACAGAAATGAGAAAAAGCAGAGCAAATTGAAATATTCGTACTTATAGCTCAAATTACATTATTTTTTACCGTTATAATATATATATATATTTTTTTTTTTTAATTAGAGAGTAATTGCAATACGTATTTTGATTAGTGTTGTACTTGAGCTTGAACATGTCCAAAGAACGGTTCTCAACAGCATCTCCGATGCATTGTAGACTACACCAACAATAGCCCTTAATGCCACTTTATACACAGCACGTCGCTATAATCATTCTCAGTAAAGCTGGGTGTATAAAGGGCTGAAATTCTTCCTTCCTTCAACTGCCTCCCTAAAAATATAATTTTAAGCGTAAAATTTATTCTGCATTCGATGCTAGAAAAATAGAACCATAACTAAGTTCACCGTGATTTTGGTGGTCACTTAAAAAGAAAAATTTTCAATCATCTATAAAACTGCAAAGTCAATCAAATTGTTTTCCTAAAAAATGTACATTTAACAGTTCAAAAAGTATGTTGGAAAATATTATTTTAAAATTGTACTCCAAACCAGTTGCATATTATTTGCGGAACACTGTGTCTTATTGCAATTTATTATACATTAATAATCGGTCTGTAGATCAATAAAAAATTACTTAACTTTAATTCAAAGCGGTAGAAAATATCATATTCCTAATATTTTAGGCATAACTGTACACGTGAATGTGGCGTAGACGTACATAACTAAATATCGAGTTACTTGAAGATTATAGGAGAAAAAACTATCGATAGCTAGTATAGGTAATGTAGAAAATATCACAATCTTACTAACTAACTTGCTATTTTCATCAGTTTTTTTGAAGAGATGTACAGTGCCGCTTTCATGCGTAGCGCTTACTTAGGTGGGTGACTTCTCAATATGTATAAATATTTATTGTAGAATATTAAGTTCCAATTATTTTTTGCATATCGAACCAATATGATATAAATCATATATATTACAATAATGTTTGTTTCAACTTCAATGCAATTTTTCATAACACTTTTTATTGAAAACCTAATCTACAATAAATTTATTTGTTATAAATGAAAATTTGTCATTCAGAACTAGTAAACAATGGAACATGTTAAGTTTATTTTTATAAGTTATACAAGTGAACTTGTAGTTAATACTGAGAATCACCCAGTGACCATTGCTTTAATGCGATGAGTTATCGCAGTTGCCACTGAACAATCGATTATCTGCCTCTTATAATTGTAAAATTTTTTTAATCAAATATTAATGAATGAGAATGTTTTAATTACTTTAAAAAATTAAAGTACAATTTTTATCAAATGAATTTTTTTTTGCAAGGTAAGTAAGTGCAACAAACCACATGACAACACAACACTGTTTTCAGGGTACTTTTTTTAGAGGAATTATGCAGGCAACAAAAATGAAAAAACACCAATGGAGTGGCAACGCTCTTTTGACATTTTGCCTCTAATACTTCGCTCATAGAATCTATTACAATATAAAATTTCGCCGTTTGCATAGTGAGTGCGGGCTGCGACGGAGTCGAGCGTAAACAAATTTTATCGAAATTCTCGCGGAAATCTCGATCAAATTTTAACAAAATTACGCGAAAAGTGTTAGAGAGTGTTTAAATATTAATTAGAAAGTGAATGCAATTGTTTGCTGGCTTTTGGTAAGCTGAAATAATCATTTGAAATCTATGCTGTCCCACACGGTGTGTTTTTTGATGAAATACGAGAAAAGAAGTGTCACAGAGTGAAATTTCCCCCCCTTTGCCCGTCTTCGTTTCACCCAGTCGTGCAGTCGTCGCGTTGTAACGAAAAAAGTTTTCTACATCGATTCCATTTAAATAATCAAAACTTGAACATAAAATAGTGCAATTCATTATTTAACGAAATATATGTATTCATAATAATTCTAAAAAAAAATATATAGAGTATATATATGGTAGAACGCGACTTCATAAATACCGACGGTTTCGGCAATCATAATTCTCAGCCGTACTCAATCCGCAAAATCAATTGTGTGGCGCTCCGTCTGTTTCACGAGCGAATGTATGTAACGCATTAACGAAAACGAAAACTCCAACTACGTTTAGCAAAAGTCAGCCAGCCAGTAGCTATTATCGCTTGCCATTCTATGGATTTTTCTTTATTCGCTTGTATGCCTTCAGTGGTTATTCGTTTAATATTAGTGACAGTTTATAAGCGCTGCCAGTGCTAAGTAATTCAAGTACCATCAACATTTATGCAACAGCAAGAATTGGTGAATTGCTAAGGGTAAGAAATAAAAATAATGATGGTCTTTATGTTATGAGAGCAAAATAACAAAATAATATCGTGTCATTTGTTAATAATTGACTAAAAATAGCTCTTAATTTACATATCAATGATAACCGTTTAGTGCTTTGATGTTGGAAGCTTCTGTTGTGTGGCTTTCCACCAATTGTTTTTCACTGAACGGTATGATGAAGCAAATTACCTATGAAAAAAATTGTTAATATTCGAAACTGCATACAAGCATTTTTATTTTTAGTTTTTATACTATAAATATTTGAAGACTTCTATAAAATAAGCACTACTCATTAACAGATATAATGCAACTTTATCTCAAATTAAAATTGTTTGTCTCGAGCACGAATTAAAGAGGTGGCAACATTTTTCTCAACTGACATTTGAATCGCTTATCTCTTGTATAGTAGAATCTATTACGATAGGAAATTTCGCCGTTCTTCCTTTTAATCGTTTTTCGAGAAAATGGCGGCGTCTTCTGCCAAATTTTTTGTACACCAAAATCAAAATAAAGCAAATTCTTCCAGAATAGAATCAGTTATATCTGGAGATTATCAGAAAAATAGCGCGTCTGGAATTTTGCCATCTCCAGGAATCGTGAATGTGGTTTCCAAAGATGACTTTGGCTTAACAAATGACGAATATACAACAAAAGAGAATGAATATGGTGATAAAATTCATTATAAAAGCGGCTGTGACAGAAGGTCAGCAACAACAGTGTCAGCATTTAGCGGAGAAGGCAATGAAGCCTTTGTTGACATTGAGGAGGTGATTTCCACAAAAACAGTCATTGTTAACAGCAAATCTGGTAGTGGAAGCACAGGAGACCTAAATCACAACAAACGTTATGATCGGTTTACGCCATTCGGCAGTGATAATGTCACGACTTTACCTGAAGGTAGCAAATGAATATTATCACATCAGTTGCAAAAAAATGTTAACTCGCGATTTGATAAATCAACAAACTTAGACATTTTAGGGGGTAATCCAAGCGAGCTTGATCAATGTGTGTACATTTGGAGGGAATATATTAGGGGTTTTCTTAAGAAAACCTTCTTTGTTAATTATAAGTAGCATTAAATAAAAAAATATTTGCCATAAACTAACTTCCTATTATAAAGATTGAATAGTAATGCATTATTTTGTTTATGTTACAGAAATAAACAATAATTTGAGAGAAACAAAGTGCGCGTCCACATACACTCTCTATACTACACCAAAGACGTTTGCAAGTGATGGCAATGCGGGGATAAATGCTAAATTTGCATATCAATTACAAACACAAAGTAATCAACAAAACAATACACAGGCTCCACAAAAAGAAGCGTCCAGTCTGCATTCGATTGCAAAACCGCTTAATCAGCATAATCATCAGTGGACCGATAAGCCACCGACAAACGTTTCAACAAAAATACTCAACATACGAGCACCGTCATCGTCATTGGCGTCAACGTCGTTGTCGTCAGCGACATCGTCGTTTACAAATTTCGCCATGAATTCCAGCCAATCTACACAAGCGCCGGGCAATCGTATAACATTTACAAGTCAAACGCTTCCTAACGGCACAATAAATATAGGAGGAGCGGCGGGTCATCCGCCAGGTTCAACAATCATATCCACTTCCCAATTACCGAATACCACCACTATAAAGACAATAACGTCAAGTGGAGCTGGCGGACAACATCATACACTGCCGCAACAAGTACAGGTACAGCATCATCAAGTACTACAAAGTGGCGGGCAACCAGGGGTGGCGGGACAACCGTCACAGCAACACCATAATGCGGCAACGCAATCAGTAGGTGCCACACAGACGCAAACCTTAGTTATAAAATCAAACAATGCGGTATCATTGCCAGCGGGTCTGGTATCAAGTTCACCCGGAATAGTAACAATGACCAAAACAATTAATCAGGTATGGCGACCCATAGAAGGCGCCCAACCCGAGTCACAGAAGCACTGTATTTTTTTCTTTTGTAAATGCTGCCTTTAGGGCAGTTATAGTTGCAGTCGGTGCTCGAGCCTTATATAAACTAAGAACTTTTTCTGTTGAGAAAACGTTGTATTGTAGAAATATTGTTATATAAGCTTATCAAAATATTTGTCAACTTTCGGGTGTTTTACTATTGCGTGGCTTGAAATTAAGTGTCGAAAGTGTATTTTCTACGAAATTGGTTTTTGGAAAACTTTATAAATCCAATAGCATGAGTATGTTCTAAACAAATATTTCAAACGTGTTTCCTAATCGGCAATTATTATCATTATTAATATTATTCAGTAATACTGAGTTGTAAATACATTTATATACAAGGTGCAAAATTTACTTTTTCAAAAGTGACAAAATTCTCTTATATTCCAAACAAATTCGGATATGCGTTAATGCAACACGACGAAAAGGAAATTATTGTGCCTTTATTGTTCTTAAACCGCTTATTGAGTACTGGAAATATGTCATTTTGAAAAACGTATATAATGAGGGCAATAGGATAGCATGATTTATTACATTATTATATACCGATACAGATAAATATATGAGCGCTTAATGGTATAGGTCTTGCTACTGCTTTATCTAAGTAAACTATGTACTTATGTACATAACAGTAGAATTTTTACGTTCTGGCTTAGCATCTTGCTCTCTTAAATTCTTAAGGGTATATTTATGTTAAATACTACAGTATAAAACATAATTGCTGTAGAGTGACAAATGTGGTAAATGTTTTTTGTTATAAATATTTTCTATCGATTTCAAAATGATTTTTCGTACAATTTTGGTCTAAATCTGGAACTATATTCAAGAAATTCAAAAAGCCTAAAAAACCATCTGCATTCTTAAATAACTGGTGAAACGCCTAACTGTAGCATGCTGTAGTGGTTTCTTGCTTGAAGTTTTTTTGTTAATCTCATAATGTTCTTATTGTAATTCCTCTGCCTTCTTTTTTATATAGGGTAACCAGCAACCTTTGTTGAATTCCATGATTCCGGCGAATGTAGTGGTGGGCATGCGTCCCCAAAATGCGCAGCAACAACAAAAAAATGTGCCAGGCAACACTCTAGGACGGGTAGTCATTGGCGGACCACATATGGTTGGCGCCAGACCACAAAATCCGGCGGTAAGTTGTAATATTGTATATGGTAAACTTATTCCTTAACAACCTTTAACGATTACATAAATATGTCTATTACATAATATAAATTTTTCTTTTGCCTATACTAATCTAAATATACAACATATATGTCATACTAATTTATTGGAACCTACCTAATATATATATATACTGTATTTACCCCATTTGTAGATAACACTCAGTACACTAGCACCTGGACAAACGCCTGCACTCATTTTAAAAACCGAAAATGGATATCAATTATTGCGTGTTGGCACAGCCACCTCAGGTCCGGTCACACCAACCATTGGCGGCAGTGGCGGCACCAATTCCAATCCGGCACAAATACGTTTGCAAACTGTACCAGCTGCTGTAAGTAGATTTGCAGGGCCTCCCATAGCACTACGTAAAACGATTGTAAGATCATCCACCTCCACAACTACCACTACTACCACCCACCACCACCAACAACATCATCAACAACAGCAGCAAGCAAAACAGCACCAACAACAGGCAACAGCGACGAAACAGATCAAACAAAATGTAATTTACGTGAATTTTGTGCATATGCAACAACAACGTATAGATCTCGTTTTCAGTTTCGAAATCTTTCATAAAACAAATTGATTTCAATTTCGTGTTAACAGCTCTTCAGCTCGCATTGATGCAGTTCTTGCACATATGGCTTACTGCCTTCACCTGCTGTCAAGCATCGTACGGCGAAGAGTTGGACGCACTTCTCTTTATTGTTCCTATTTTATATATATACTCTTTGTTGCGATTCAAAATCGTCTTTTTAGATGTTTCTTTATTTTCCAAATAGTTTAGTTGTTTAGACTTCTATTTGATTACATAAGCATAATGCATTAATATATACATATCTAGAAGGGTACACTCATTGTAGTATGGTCCGTTTAGTTTGTGGCATTTTGCAATACATACGAAATTTTTTAATTCTTTAGTATAGCTTTGAAAAAATAACCAAGATTTTTAAAATATTTTTTTGATCCTGTTTATCGAAAATCATCGTGAGATTAGTTGAAGAAGGAATGCCAGTTTTTTTGTATACCCTGAATCGGGTGTAACAACTACAAGAAGACGTCGGAGTCTCTATTAAGTATATATATATATAAAAGATCAGCGTGACAAGCTGGAGCGATGTCCGCCTGTCTTTATATACGTGTACTAGAAGTTTTTGAGATATCGATCTGAAATTTTGACAGAAGCTGCTTATTTGTCGGAACCGCCGATATCAGATCACTATAGCATATAGCTGTCATACAAACTCATCGGTCAAGATCAATTTCTTGTATGGAAATTTTTTTGATTTGACCAGAATTGGCATACATTATTCTCCGACGCAGTGCTATAGTCTCCTAATATATTATTCCGATCGGGCCTTTATAGCATATAGCTGCCTTACAAACTAAACGATCGGAATCAAGTGCTTGTATGAAAAAGTTTTTTATTGCCAAGATAACTGCAAAATTTTACTAGAATTATTACTGAAGGCAATGCTACAGTCTCTGAAAATATTATTCCGATCGGGCCACTATAACATATAGCTGCCATACAAACTAAACGATCAAAATCAAGATAAGATCTTTTATACCCTTTTATGATATGCACCTGTAGAGGGTATTACAGCTTCGGTGCAGTAGAAGTTGACGTTTTTTTTTAAATGTTCCATGTTCTGTTCAAGGACTTCTGTTTTAAATACCTTGCATGAAATCATTTTTTATTTAGAACATTGTATTTAGTTTATTTTTGAGGGATAGGCGCATACTCGATAAGCATATATTTTTCGGATGAGTTTATATAGAAATTTTAGTGATTTTCCGATTTGCAGGCCCTTTGAAGTGTCTTCTCAATCAGCTTATTCCGCTTTCCCTTATATACATACGTCTAAGAGATGTAGTAGTTTCTTTTAAACGCGAAAAATTATTTTGAATGCTTATTGTTGCGCTGAAATAAATTCGGTTGCTCTCTACGCAACATTTAACTCATTCTTTATTTAGTGTTAAACTTCTCTATTTTTTTTGTTTAGTTACATTTTGTTGATTTACTGTTTCTTCCTGCCATTGCCTTGGAGAATGTCTACGGCACTGTAACTTTGACTAAAGTATTTTATATTCTGTTGTACGATTTGCTTAATTAATTTGTAATTTGCGTAAATTTTACTTATTTTAACTGCCTTGTATACGCGTAATTACATATTACGATTATATTGCTGTTGTTAAAAGAAATATATATATATATATATATTTTATTTGATGCCTGCTCTGTACATATATAATTTTGACATACATAGTTAGAAATTAAATCCTAAAGGGCTTTGAAATATAAGTTAAGTGTGCTATAATTTATTGAGAAAAAAAAAAAACAATACTTACGTAAACGTAAATTTGATTGTTGATTTTGCAATATTTTCTAATTTCTAATTTCATACATTAATTTTTTTTTTACATATTCTCATTTTTTGAAGTTTGCGTTCTGTTTACAATTAACTCTTGCCTTGTGACAAGTACATGCAAATGTACTTTATTTAGTTAGTGCTAAGTAAGTAATTAATAATTTATTTATTGCATCTGCAGTCCATGGCAGTGTCCTCGTCTACGTCTAATAATATTGTTGTGAACTCAGTTGCTTCGAGTACTGCTGGCCCGCATCACACGTACACGTCGCAGGCGAATATCACGTTGCAACAGCCGCACCATCAGTCTGCACTGCAACACCAACAACAACAGCAAACACATCTACAGTCGCAACATCAGCAGTTACATCAGCAGACGCAACATCTACTACCACAACCGCAGATAACGCAAATTCAAACAATTCCAGCACAGCATTCAACCGGTGCGACCGCCTCCACGGGCACCTCGAACACAACGACCATGAGTAATAACCATAGTGCCGTGTCCACGGCCAGTGCCGGCACGGCGACGGGGACAGCTAATGTGACGACCACACAGAGTGCAGCGCAAGGCAATACCAAAGAGAAATGTCGCAAATTCCTTGCGAACCTGATCGACTTGGCGACGCGTGAGCCGAAACCAGTGGAGAAGAATGTACGCAATCTCATACAGGAACTGGTGAATGCAAATGTGGAGCCAGAGGAGTTTTGCGATCGACTGGAGCGTCTATTGAACGCCAGTCCGCAGCCGTGTCTAATTGGCTTTTTGAAGGTTAGTCTGCCGCTTGAGTAATTAATTTTTTTTCATTTAAATAATATAAAATCTTACTTGTGTTACAGAAAAGTTTACCACTGCTACGGCAAGCTCTATTTACCCGTGAACTTGTCATCGAGGGCATTAAACCGCCGCCGCACCATGTTGCCGGTTTGACAACGTTGCAACAATTTCCAGTAAGCATACATTTTTATTATACCCTCTACAGGGTATATTAAGTGTGCAACGATGTTTGTAATACCCAGAAGTTAAGACCCGATAAAATATATTTGTAAATGATCACCATGACGAGCTGAGTCATGTCTGTACGGTTATAAGTATATTCGTCGAACTACTCAAACAGTTTATGAGATATTGATCTGAAATTTTGCAAGAAATTTTTCAGATCGGATCACTAAAGCTGCCCTACAAATTGATCGATCAAAATCAAGTTTTTGTATAGAATATTTTGTATTTGTGTAGGGTGTTATGGCTTCGGTGCGACCGAAGTTATCGTTTTTTTTCTTGTTGCCACCTAGTAACTTTTATACATTAAAAAAAAAAAAATCCTTCAAATTTGCAGAAAATTCAAGCGCAAATACGTCCGATAAGTCAAAATCAAACCACGACTATTGGACAAACGCAAGTCAGAATGATTTCTCCTGTCGGCCCGGGTGGACCACGTCCCATTGGGCATACTACGATAACCAAACAACCGGCCGGTATTCGTATACAAGGACCCACCAACGCACCACGCCTGGTGAATGCCCAAATACGCGGCCCCATTCCAGCATCCATACAGCAGGCAAACACTCAACTGCCCTCGGCGCCGACGCAAGCGGTAAGTCATGCCTTCGTGCGTGTATAAACAAAGTTTTACAAATCATTTACTCTTCTCCACAGAGTATTGTGCATATACGCGCACCAACAGTAACGCAAATAAGCCGCCCGACCACAGTACAAATACGTACTGCCAAGGGGAAAAATGCCCCGCCGGGTATAACACATGTCAAAGTTGGACAAACACAAATAAAGGCGATCTCTTCGCCTGTACCGTCACTCGTTGCAACGAATCAACCGCCCTCCCTAACAGCTATATCCAATAGTTTACCACCCTCGTCGACACCATCCCTCTCCGCTGTATCCACAATACTATCCACCATCAATTCAGTCGCGACCTATTCGAATGCAAGCAGTGGGACATCTTTGCCAACGCCATCATTGCCCACCGTGCAACTGCCACCCAACCTAATGCACCACAGCAGCAGTCACCTGAGCAGTCATGCCACCATTGCTGGTATTGGCGAGAGTATAAGAATTGTCGATCCCAAATTGGAGAACGCTATCAAGCAAGAGAAAATTATACCTGTCACACCGCCGGCGAATAAGACGACAGCTAAATCTGGTGCTGCGTCCGCCAGCAAAGCGTCAAGCAAAAAGAAGAAAGAACAGCTGGATAAGGAGAAAGAGGAGAAAGGAAATGCCTTGGGTGCAGCCGCCACAGCAGCAATGTCTTCATTCTATCAACAACCCTCTATATCGATGTCATCTTCGGTGTATGGCGACGACGATATCAATGACGTAGCCGCCATGGGCGGTGTCAACTTGGCCGAGGAGTCGCAACGCATACTCGGCAGCACTGAAAACATCGGCACACAGATACGTTCGTGCAAGGACGAAGTATTTTTGCATTTGCCAGCGTTGCAGGCGCGCATCCGTGCGATGGTTATGGAACGTGGTCTAGAAGAACCATCGCAAGATGTGGCAGTCTTGATATCGCATGCGTGTCAAGAGCGTCTGAAAAATGTCGTCGAGAAATTGGCTGTGATAGCAGAACATCGCATCGATGTAATTAAGGTACTAGCACACGAGTCTTTAGTCTTTAGCATTTGAGTTTTGTACTTAATTGCATGTCATTTGAATGCTTTAGCTGGACCCACGTTACGAAGTCACAAAAGATGTGCGCGGCCAAATTAAATTCCTCGAGGAATTGGACAAAGCCGAACAAAAGCGGCACGAGGAGTTGGAGCGCGAAATGCTGCTGCGTGCAGCCAAGTCGCGTTCGAAAATCGAGGATCCTGAGCAAGCGAAAATGAAAGCGAGGGTAATTTAACAACAATAATTGACCTTAAAGCACTTAAATTAAAAACGCATTTTTGTACACGTTTGCAGGCGAAAGAAATGCAGCGCGCTGAAATGGAGGAGTTGCGACAACGGGACGCCAATATGACGGCTTTGCAGGCCATCGGTCCACGGAAAAAAATCAAACTGGATGGCGATGCAACAGGCGCCGGCGCGGTAAGTAGCAAGCCGAATTCCTGTAAAATTGCTATATAAATAAATAACGGTCAACATTTTTTATATACATATTTTTGCAGAATTCGAACGCCAGCGGTGCTTTAGGCGGCTCAAGCGTGCCATCAGTGCCACTACGGCCACGCATCAAACGTGTAAATCTACGCGATATGCTCTTCTTTATGGAACAGGAACGCGAAACATGCCGAAGCCAAATGCTGTATAAGGCATATCTTAAGTGATCGACTTTGTGCAACGGCTAAGTGGGGGAAAACTACATACTACACACATATACCATATAGCATATGATCTTTCTGAACATGGTGAAATGCAACATTACATCAACTACAGTCATATTTCTTCATACATTTATTTTATAAATTTCTATGTACATTTATTGTTGCGCTGTAGCACGCTGATTTCAACATTTTACATATAATCACGTTTCGATTGCAAAAAGTAAACACTGTATGCAACTTACAATTCTCCAAATTTTTTGCTACTTGTATGTATACAAAATATATATTTATATATAATATATATATTTTTTTTTAATATTTGCTTTGTCGTTTCTCAGCACGTCAAAGCACTTCACTAGTTGCGTTATATACATACAAAAGAGTTTACTAAAAATTTGCAATTTTGCGGTTAATGACGAAGGATGTGTAATTAGTTTGGGGTGGATTATGGCAATATTTATTTAGAGCAACACTAATTTGTTAAAAAATTATTTTTTTTTGAAAAATTATTTTTTTCTAACAACACAATTTTTTAACATCATTTAACGCCCCCACATAACCTCCAATTTTTTTATTATCATTGATTTATTTAATAATAAAAAAACAAAATAAAAATATAAATTGCGACTCGTGTGCACGAACATGAAGTGGAATTTGCGAAAAGTGTTCACTATGCTAGAGTGAATTTGTAAAAATAGCGTTAACGGATGATGAAGGCAATTTTTTATTATTATTACTATTATTATTATTATTATAATTCTTTAAGCAATTTGTGCTCTTAAACTTAAACGATCTATTGCTTCAAACTATTTGTAAACAACTAATTTGTCTTTAAGTATATAATTCGTATTAAAAAAGAAAGAAATGAGAGTAAGTAAGCTTAGGCAGAAGACGTTACATTAATTAAAGAAAAAAGAAAAATACATATATAAAAAATATGGCCTTATAAATTTAGGTTAATAACAAGTAAATTTTGTACATTTTGTTTATGCCGATTAGAAGTCGTTTTCTATTATTTTCTCACACACAAACACACGTTGTTAAATACAGAAAAAGTAAAATACATAACGATAAACCTTATTTTTTAGTGTATAAATTTTCGTATAAAAATGGCATGCTGTAGTCGCGAAGTGTAAAAAAGAAAAACAAAAATACAGGTATTGTGGCATTCAACTTTGTTTTTTTTTTTTTGTTTATTTATTTTTATATATATAATATATATTTTTATTTTATTTTTTTTTTGATTTTTTTATATTTTTTTTTAAATTTATTAAAACAATTTTTTTTTGATTTTTTTTTTATATATTTTTTTTTATATTTTTTTTTTATAAATTTTTTTATTTATTTTTTTTTTTATATATATTTTTTTTAATTTTTTTTTTATATATTTTTTTTTTATATTTTTTTTTTATATTTTTTTTTTATTTATTTTTTTTAAATAAAATTTTTAAGCAGCAAAGTCGCATGAATGTTATGGAATTTTCTATGAAAGTTAGCAAAAACACCAAATTTGGGCTGTAACAGAAATAAATGCAGCGACAAACGAAAATGTCTGACTGCAATTTTCAATTTCCTTAAAATTTTGATATCCTTCCAACCTAAGTTATAAATTTCTAATTTTAGTATGAGAAAAACAACAACAACAACAACAGCATAGTCAATATTCGAGTAGCTTTGCTGCCAAACTGGGAGAGGAAGCACATGCGCGTGGTTCAAGTTAGAACGGTTTAAAACCAACCTTAACATTTAAGTGCGGACACCTAGCGTTAAGTAGAATATTCATAGAAATTTGTATATTTGTAAGACTTTGTGGCCACGGCGTGAAACGATAGATAACGCGTTTTTTCTAAACGCCTACAAAAAAGTAAGAAAGAAAGAAAAGAAAAACAAAATTTGCATAATAAAAAAAATTAATATTAAGGTTTACATATTAGCAGACAGTTAAAATTTTTTTAGCATAAGCGAAAACTCTAAACGTTAAAACTATTGATAGCGCGAAAAACAGGAAAAAAGCAGAAAGCAGATAAAAAAAAACAATAGAAAATTGCATAGTATCAAACCGCTTATTGTAGTCTTATTTGCAAAGGCATTATCATTACTATTATATTATATTAAATTTTAATATGGACAACCCGTGAACCCAAAAAATAGCAAATATCTACTAATAAGATAAACAAATCGACTAACAACAAATCAAACACCAATAACAATGCATACATATATATGTATACATATATATATACATAAATCAAGTAAAACAAAATAATTAACATAATGTGAATACAAAAAGCAAATAACAGTGCTGGCGACTACCGTTAGAGAATCCAACTAAAATAGTAGTTTATTACAAAAAAAAACGAAAACAAAAACTAAAAAATATGTAAATGTATGTAAATTAAGTTAATTTTTATGATTTTGTAATACCACAAACAAATACTTACAGTTAAAAGTTACCAAGTTCTTTTGTATAATGTAAAAAAACAAAAAAAAAAACAAACACAAAAAAAACAAGCAAAAGTTGAATATACAAAATGGCAATTAACGAAAAAAAGTGAAAAGTGAAATACAGTTAAACATTAAACAAAATTTTAATGCTGGCTAAAACTTAGTTTTAACTATTGTATATTACAATGAAATTGTGTAGTTATAAATGAATAAATTAAAGTAATTTATATAACAAAAAAACAAACAAAGCGGAAGTATAAAAGCAAACGAAATAGAATTTAGCACACCCAATACATATATAGAAGACCCCTATTATGATTTTCAACCCAACTGCATTTTGGTTGAAATTCGCTTTGAAATTCGGTATTATCGATAGCAACTCAACCCGTCAAAAAAGTTTCGGTTGAAGTGTTGTCAAACTTCAACTTTATTATGTGATTACGGTTTTCAATTGGGGTTGACTACAAGTAATGTCAAAAAACTACAACTGTCTTGTAGTAGTTGAACATTACTGCATTTATTTTGCGAAAAATATTAGTACAAAATGGAAAATGAGTGTAAAAAAAATTATTGTATTTAGAATTTTAAACTATTTTAATCAGTTATTTTGTAAAAAATGCATAGGCAAGTGAAGCAGCTGTTGAGCCACAAGCAGGATGAGGCAAGGTACAATGTGGAAACAGTAAACATAATATTCCGTGACCGTGGGAAATGTTTCGAACATAAAAAGTCGGTACAAACTACTATCCCTAGGAATATACTTTATGAGTAAAATTAAAAATTTTAAGCGTTCTGCTCCTCTTCAGTACTTTTAATATTTTAAACTTCCTCAACAAACATAGATAGATAGTAGTCTGTGCCAACGTATGTAAAGTTAAAATCATTTAAACTGAATTTTCGATAATGATAGGTAGGTAGGTAGAGTGGCTGTCTGTCGAAGCACCTAGACCTATAGGAGGCACATTGTGATACCACCGGGACTAATGTTCCCTCACTTTATTGTGTCCTCTCTGAACCAAACTGTGCTTCTGATGAAGTTCATTTTGATAATGATAATCAGAAGGAAACGGAGAGTTGCGTCTAATTTCCATGATCGTTCCTCGCAATTGTTTGTGATAATGTTCCTTCAAGTCATTTAGTAAAAAAATAAAATGCTTCGTCATTTAAACGAAAATAACACATGAATCTGCAACAAACATTATTTAATAGCCATTTAATTGTCAATAAAACTTTGGCATGCGCAGCACATCAGTTTTGGCTAAACAAGCAAAAACCTTAACTTAGGCTGCACCGAAGCTATAATACCCTTCACATAAACAAAAACTCTTTACATGAATTTTGATAAGGCAGTTTGTATGGCAGCCACATATATGCTATAGTGACTCGATCTGAACAATTTCTTCGGGGATTGCACTATTGTCTGAGGCAATAATCTGTGCCAAATTTCTTGAAGATATCTTGTCAAATGAAAAAGCTTTTCATATAAACACTTAATTCCGATCGTTTAGTTTATATGACAGCTATATGCTATAGTGGTTCGATATCGGCGATTGCGACAAATGAGCAGCTTCTTTGGGAGAAAAGAACGTGTGCCAAATTGCAGATCGAGCTCTTATAAACGTATATACAGACAGATGGATGGACAAATAGACAAACAGACATGGTTTAATCGACATTTATATATGTATTAATTTTTTAGAGTCTCCGATGTTTCCTTCTTGGTGTTAAAAAATAGAGTTGGGTTGATCTGTTGGTTGAGTAAATTCAACTTCGATTGAAACGAGTGAAGTTGAAAACCGTAATAGTAAAATCTTCTTTTCTAAGTTGACAACACAATGAAACTTCCAAAATAGTTGAAGATCGTAACACCAAAAAAGAGTTGGCTTGATCTGAAGTTGAAAGCTGAGTGGAGTTGAAAACCGTAATAGGGGAAAATAATTACGAGGTTAGAATGAAAGGCATGGTAGTGAAGTTCAAGTATTTTCGTCATATCCTTCTTTTTGAGCTTAAAATTCTAGAATTTCCTGATTAGTTAGAGTTGGAACACAAATTTTAGTTACTATCGATGACAGTTAGCGGAAATATTTATTCAGACATCGTCTTAAATTAGTCAATTAGCAAATCTCAACTCTTCCCTATAGAGTGAAGCGTTGCTAATTTACTCAATTAGAAAGATTTCTTCTTATTGATTCAAATCTTTTATTTACTCGTTTACTTATTTTATTCTATTCTTAACTTTTTATTTTATATGTGTGTAAAAAAGGACGCATCCAGTTAGTTAGTTACAGTTTGCAACTCCACTTCTGAAGTTTTAAAATATGTTTTTAAAATTGCGTTGTTTTCGTATTGCAACTTTATTGGGGTATTACCGTTTACCAACCTGATACTAGTGCGGTAGGCCACAAAGACAACTCGTAACTATCAGCTGTCATTTACATATGTACTCGAACATTGTAGTTCTTGCAGTTATTTTCGAGAAATTATTCATAAAAAGCGGAAAACGAATACATAAACTAATTATTTTGAACACCTTTTTAATCCGTAAACATAATTAGCCTCATCCCTTTGTACTTCTGAGCACCAAATAAGAAAAAGTTGTAGTGACAATTAAATAGCTCTTTAATAATTCTTATTCATAGTTACAGATTCAGCCGAATCGGACTCGTAGTTTGGTTTTGACCACGACAGTAAGAGGTCGTGTCCCCGGATTTTAAGAAAATGGAAGAAGAACAATATCGGCCGGTGATTCGATTTTTGTTTTTAGAAGAGAAATCTTGCAATGAAATGAGTTTCAACATGGTCGCATGTTGCTTTTTGATTAGACACCTTCTATTGCCCTGAAAAAAAGTCGCATATTAACATATCGAAGATTAAAGATGCGCGTGGAAGCTGAGACAGAAAGCATTTCGAAGGACCACATGGGTCATATTCTGCATGAGATATTGGGTATAAGAAAACTGTCGGCACGATGGGTGCCACGCTTGCTCACTCTGGACAAACAAACGCAATCGTGAAATTACTTTACAGCAGTGCGCGACACTATTTAAACGCAATCCGAAGGATTTGTTTCAAGACCGTCGACGATATATGGATAAATACGTATACACTATTTACTTAAACCGGCACCTGACCCAAGAAAGGGGGACTCTGTTCTCTCCGCCGAAATGCTGATGACCACCGGTCTCTGGTATTATATATCGACTACCTAAAAAACGACAAAATTGTAACAGGGTTCTACTATGCCAAGTAAACGTCGAAGTAAAGTGTTGCTCACTCCCCTGCCCTTCCACTGTCAAACTGGTCGAAATATTCAATGAAATTCTGCCCCATCCACTGTATTCGTCAGATGTCTTCCAAAGTTGAACTCGGTGGACAGCACTTTGAGTCGGTTATCTCCGCGACGGGGGCATTATTTGCAGACTTTTAGAAACATATTATGCAAAAGGGTGAAAAAAATTGTATCATCACTAGTGAGGTCAGGTGCATCGAGGTAAGAGGAGAGAAGAGAGAGAGTTCAAATATAAATCGTACTTTTTCCAAAATTAAAAACTATCGTCATCGGACCATAACTAACTTTTCAAGCCCACATATTTATGTCGCCCCATAAGGCCTCAGTGTTTATGACTGACTTTGTACCGAAGATCTGTGAAATGTCTTAATGACATTAAGAGCCCATCATTTCCAGAAAATAATATGTTCTGATGATCAATAAGATATATACGCGGAATTAAGTGAATGTATATGATATAATGGTTCTCGTTAATCTATGGGAGTTTATGCACAATATTTCGGTCAAATTAAAGTTATTTTGATAAAACTGCGTCTTGAACACACTTCAGTTTAACCTTAGTTGACCCTATTTGCCCCTGCAAAAGCCGGGGCAGTTGCTTTTAGTCGTCGATTTTTTCCATATTATAATTCACTAAAAGTCCCGACATATAAAAGGCAACACAATTTTATTCAATTTTTTTTTTTTTTTTTTTGTAATTTCTAAGCCAGGGACGGCCGGGACGCCTAACTCAAAATCCGGACTGTCCTGTACAAACCTTCCCCCTGCGGGTAGAGGTAAGAATTTACCAGCGGTAAGTCATGCCTATCGTAAGCGGATGCACTATGACTGTTATTATATATTGCCTAGAAATATCAGCATAGTTATGTCAGAAATAGTGCTATAATACTCAGCTTGAACTGATATTATAGACTTTATATGAAATTCCAAATTAAAAGACATTTGAAGTTCAAACGACAAATGTCTCCAGTCATTGAGTAATGGGTAGCTCAACTAGCAGTAGCTTCGGCCACACAGTCTAACCGGAGACTCAACTCTGGTACCAGGGGGGCAGAATGCCCTTGGACTTCGGTCCAATCTGCTCATTGGGTTTGTGCCTTTGGGGAGATTCGTGGTGGCTGTGGTTTAAGCCTAAATGCTGGAAGAACTAAAAATTCAGTTCAAAAAAGAAGTTGCACAAGCAACTGGGTTCCGTACTCGAAAACGGAAGAGGTTTTAGGTCGGCCTCGAATTCTATCAAGATGGTCAGTGTGCCAATACACCCTGGCCACTGGTAACCAAATAAATACTTGCAAATAGCTCGTATTATTTGGGGCGCTGATCAACGCATTGTTTTGATACGTTGTGCTTTTGAGCACCATGAGGTAAGGCCGTCGACGGCAGGTACACACGTAAAACACATGGGACGTTGTCCTGTACATACCGGAACGAATGGTGAGCCAAGTTTACGCCAAAATTAAATTGTGCCAGCTGAGATCTACCACTGGCCAAAGTATACTCGATATAGTGATTACAAGAGTATACTATGTTCGACTACACTCGGAAATAGCCCTTTCTTACATATTTTTAATAAACACTGACTTATAAATTAATTCTTATTTTATTACGTAGCATAACCACTTTCAAAATTTCAGCAAAAATAGTTAAAACCATCGTACTTTCATATTTCTAATATATTTCCTTTTCATAGCATTTAAAATTTATTTTTTTTTTATTTGTCTTCTACTTCAGGGGCTTTTGTAGAAAAAAGTTAACCCTAAATTTTATATATCATAATTTTTATTTTATATTTGCATTTTCAATTCATTTAACACAAAACGGAAATAAAACTAATAAAGAGACAATTTCAATTATACTCAATCATTCATGCATTGGAACGAGCATCCATATTTGAAATAATTAATAACGGAAAGGAAAACATTAAAATGCAGGATATGTAAATATAATAATAAAACTTACAAACAATACAGACAAGAGTTTCAAATAATAAATAAAAATCAAAGAAAAGAAAAGTAATGATAAAACATTCAAACAAAAAAAAACAAATTTAATTGGTTGAAATAAAAATGTGCAAAAAATACTTAAAACATTTTTGATTGACTAAATAATCTACCAGGCAAGCTAAAACATAGTATAGGGTTCGAAATCACGAACTACCGAATGGAAGTCGTAAACCTAAACAACTCGTCAAAATAAATTGTTCCTGCCTTCGTTTTTTGTAGTAAGTATTTGAATGTATCTATCTTGTTTAGCCACCGACCACGTCTCCCACCGACTACTATATCGTGCAGTAATGATTTATTTTTAACGGCGGTGTAGTATTTAAAGGTTGTTTTTTTTTTACATCTGGTTTTCAAAAGAAAATCGTCAATCGCCTCGGACTCATCAGCGTAGACAAGCTACTTTACATAACCTCACAAAAAATAGTCTAGCGGTGTTAAATTGCGCGATCTTGGGTGCCACGCCACAGACTCTTGACGCGAAGTAATGCGCTCACCAAAAGATTCCAATAAATCGATTGTTTCCTCGGCTGTATGGCATGTAGCACCGTCTTGTTGCACCAAAGTCCACATCAACCGGATATGAATTCAGGCACAACCAAGTCATTAATCATAGCTCTTTAGTATTCCCCATTGACTGTAACATTATAGCTGGCTTCATTTTTTAAGAGATATGGACCAATGATTCCCTCTGCCATTAGCGTACACCCAAAAGTGACTTTTTGAGGATGTAACGAGGTCTCAACAATGGCTTTTGGATTATCATTACTTTAAATGCGAAAATTTTGTTTATCAGCGTACCCATGCAATCAAAAGTGAGTCCCTCCTTTGTTCAATTCAAACTATATTGCGTTATACCTCAATAATAAAGGTTTTCTAATTTAGCACCCTACGAGTATTTTTAAGTTTTCCATTCAATATCTGTATTTCTACATAATCCTGGATTTCCTAAAATTTGGATTTCATTTTGTACGTCATAAAATATTAACTCATCTGTGGAGTTGATCGACTTTACTCAAAAACTTATAAGAAGATTTGGTCTCACACGACTATTTTGCACAATATGACACTATGATTTTCCATCTTGTTTGGGTAGCAGAAAGTATTTAAAAAGTTTAATAGCATAGATCAATATTTTAGAATTAAAAATTCTGTAAATCTGTACCTTCACCTATAGGTTACCCGTAACACTTAAAGATATTTTCAATATAAAATTAACAAACAACCAAGCTTTGTAAACTTACGCTAAATTGACGTCATTGAAATAAGGATTCGTCAAATCATCGGAGAGTCGCTTACGAAAATGCAATGTGTGGTATATATTCGATCAATTTTTCTTACTTAAAATATTAATATACCTGGTCTTAAGAATTAAATAATATAGTCATTTAGTTTTCAATTAATTGTAATTTTTGTTTTATTTTATTATCAACTCCTCTTTAAATAGTAATAACAAAATTGACCAATTTAGCGCAACAATTCATGTTTGATAATATGTTTCCTTTTTTTTCGTTTATTTATTATTTCTTATTTGTTTTAATGTCTCCTACAGCATTTGCATTTAGGATGATAATATGTATTGTATTTAATTACTTTGCTATTATTAACATTTCACTTTTGGTTTTTATTAATAATCAATTTAATTATGTTCCTATTTACTTTGGGATCTCTAAAAAAATATATTATTCCTAGTAATGTATCCTAAAATGTTTTGATTTCAAAGAAATTATTAAAATGCAGTGAAACCTACAAAATTATTCCTCCAATATTATTTTAAGTATAATATTGTTGTGGTTTTTTATATATATGCGGTATGGCGCCTAAATCTCTGCAATGCTTTTCTTTTCAAATCGATTTTGCGATTTTGAAGAGCGGTTGTTAAAAATTTTCCAATTGAAATTTGCTTCGAAAAATTTAAGTATGCAATTATTTTAGAAATTTTAAATATATGTTTTCTTTGAGCATTACTTAACAGTAATGGCTTTTTAAATAAATGAAAGTAAAGAATTACGGTTAAACAAAAATACCTCAAATATGCTGTAGAATGTGTGTCCAAAGTGAAATTATCTTAACATTGTAATTACAATTTTAATTATACGAAATTCAGCAAATTTTTGTGATATTTTTTTTAACTTTACAAAACGAAAATTAGAATTTTTCAAAAATAAGTTGAATTTTTAAAACTTGCATGACATGTCTTGAAAAATTATTAAAATTAATATACCCTGTTCAGGGTATAAAAAATTAGGCATTTTTCAAAGTTCCATGATTTGTCTCGCAAAAACCGCCTAGATGTTGGCAACATAAATTTATATTTCTAAACTATTTCAAAATGTGCCGTTATTAATCTTTCGTTAACATTTTACTCAATTATAGCATACTTTTAAGCGCCTTAGTACTCTTTTTCAATTGCTAAAACGTCATTATCGTGTTCGTTAAATCGGACAAGTGCTCAATAATTTAATATTTTACTATTTGGTAATTTATTTTGGCTTTAATATTTAGCAAACATTTCAAGCTTAGCACTACTACCAATATCTTTATGTATGTATGCTACTACGCGTATGGCGTTAGTAATTAACATATCAGTTAAACTACATTGCTAAATTATTGTACAGTGTCTTTTAAAAATGCTCCAACATCTAACGATATCCATTTTTACATGCTGGCTGGCAATTGTAGTAACGCAGAGCCACAAATGTGGGTGATTGCCTTAAAGTTTAAAACGTTCAATTTTCAAAATTATGATGGAATATTTCGAAAACCATAGAAATGATATGCCTTTCAGTCCACCAGTTGACAGCCATTAATGGGCAGATATCCATTTTCTGAATACTTGCATCTTCTTCTTTCTACTCAGAGCGTTTTTTTCTTTTGGTTTTTTTTTTTTGGTATTTCTTTTGGTTTTTGGTTTTTTAGCATTAACTTATATATGTATGTATGTACGCGTACGTATGTTAGTTCATATGTATGATTTGTCGGTGTATATGTTGATTTGTGTGCATATATGTGTGTGCTTCGTTGTTGTTGCTGTGTCCAGTGCGGCTGCATTGTGAAGCGCCTTAATTGCTGCTACTGCTGTTGCTGCTGCTGCTGCTACCCTTAGTTTACTTTCGCGTGGCATTTTCGTCTACCAAATTGAAATACGATGCCGCGCTAAAGTTGAATAGTTCAAAATCGTATCTGCAAGAAAAAACAGGCGAAGTGTTATTGAATAGAATCACTGATTGTTTGGCTGATGGAATGCGTGATTGAAGGTTTAGAAAATACTATTTCATGGCGCAAAATAAAAGTGTAATAAAAAATATCAAAACAGTTTTTAAGCAATTAGTTTAGTCGAAATATTTCAATACTAACAATAAGTTTTCCACTAGGCAAGTTCTATCAATACAACTGCTTTGAAAACAGAGTTCAAGATTACAAGCTTACACATCACAGTTTTTATGAGAGAGTGTCATAAGAAAATGTTTAGTCGTTGTTTCTAAACTTAAGATAAGTATGATCGGAAAACATTTCGTGACTTGACGAAAAGAAATATTGTGCGTTAGAGAGATGGACCAGACTGGAATTTACAAAGGATGGAAATTACAAAAGATCACTTTAGAGTCCCAAGAATTTGGTTATAATGTTAGAATAGACGAACTTATAACCAGTGTATCGACACTAAGGTAACCATATTAGTATCTTCTCTTCTGTGCGCATATCTTGATGTCCTCAATTAAAAGGCGGCTTCTGGAAGTCTTACGTCGAATTTGAACGACTTTTATATTTGTATAAAATAAAGTTCTCATATCAAATGTTAGTATATACGGATTGTTTTGAAATTTGATTTCGATGATTAACTCTAGAGTTTGCTTTGCTTTGCTTTGAAATTGAGCATCTCAATCAATCATGGCGTAGTTACGCGCTAAAAGATCTTATGGGCAGTGTTATAGATAGAATTAGGTTTACATTAATACATAACGAAAGAAATTAGAAAACTAAATCGTATAGTATTTTGCGTTCATTCTCATTTTGCATTTAAAAGAAAGTTAGTTAACAGAACTGTCTTTCATCTGCAACTTATTCAAAAATTTTTAATGTCATATTAGCCGTCATCGATTCGCCATTTTCTTTACTTGATATTTTTGATTGCTACTCTCTTGCAATACATTACATATAAAAGCCACAAAAAGTTGACGAGTTAAATTTAATACAAGAAAGAATGGCAATGCTTTAAAAGATGTAAATGCTTTCCTCAATACAGACTTTAGACCAGTTCTAACAAAATTTCAATTTTTTATCGATTGAAACTTAAAACCTTATTTAAAATATGATAGATTACATTTTGAGAGATCTGCTGTAAATGTACATACAAGTATACTGTGAACTATTCCACAGTAAAGATTCTATAAGAGTAGTGAATTAGGTTGTTGGATTGGTTCGAGACCTTTTTGAAGTATAAAAAATTTACAGACAGAGGTCTTTATAGCTTTGCATATATTCTACTAAATCAGTGATGGAATCTAGAGCTGTTTAAAATTTAACTTAAAATTATACTAAAACTAGCAAGCAAATGTTTAACGCGTTTTTAAGATTTTGTCTACGCCCACTTAGGTACTTACTTATAATATTGATACAGTCCCTGCATTTCTCTTGAGGACAACTTAGAGTAGAACGATTGCAGCAACTCCTGCGTATTTTTGCCTCTGCCAGCATTCCGCCACTCCGGCGCTATGACACGCGTCAAACCAGTCTTTGTAATGAGATATAATTGATCTTCGTCCAGTGTGTCAAACTTCATGATCACATCGAAATTGATAAGACAAGGCGTGCAGAACAACGTCGACGAGATGAAATGCATGTCCATTTGAAGAATGCCAAGCTGGATTTGTTTCAAAAGCCAACGTACAAATTCCGGGAATGTTGGATATCTGGGCGTGTTCATATCCAAATTCTGTGAAGTGAGAGAGGAGAAATTAATATGAGGTTTAAATAAGGGTTAAGATTATATGCATTTATGAGTATGTATGTAAGGTAATGCTCTGTTAAATAATATGTTGTTGTATGTGTGTGTATGTACACATATGTTTGTAACTGTATTTAGGTGAGGTTTACAAAAGAATTTAAAAATATATATTTATTTATATATATATGTATATATAAAAAAAATGCTCAAGTATATATTACATATAAATTTGCACATTGGCATACAGTTAAACATACAAATATACACATAATTTTTTTTTGTTGCCAAACGCGTGTCTACTCACTTTGCTACGATATTTGCGCACAATGCGCCGCCCCAGCTTGTCGTGATAGGAATGCGGTATGGCGTATACGATCTTATCACGATATGCACTCAATAGCCTCTCGAATGGATGGCGTGCTATCATGAATGTAAGCGAGTCATTTTGTGCTTCTCGCAGCTGAAAAACAACAAAAACAACCAAATATACATATTATTGAAGCAAATACAATATAATATTTTTGTATAGATGTGTGACTATAGTTGCAAGTGTGTAGGTAAAGTGTTGTCACCAGTAATTGATTATAAAATAGCGTCATTTAACTGATGGACTGTCGTTTACCATTACACAAGGATACGTGAATAACAAATTAGTAAATAGCATGTTGTATGTGTAATATGTGTCTGTGTGTAGTCATGTAATTTTATGTGTCGAAAAGAGGATAAAAATGTTAAAGAAATTGTTTGTCCAAGTAAATGTTCGTGAGGAATATATATGTGTATGCGTCAATTAATATTAAATAATGTTAACAAGTAATTACATAAAAAGTTCAGCGACTTTAAATTATATAATTGTTTAAATTTTGGTTAAGGGGTAAGGTCAGCCGTGGACTTTCAAAAATCGTCTTAAAACACACTTTACGAGTCCCAAAAAGATTGTTAAATTAGAAGATAAATGATAAGAAAATTCCCTGTCCAATCCGGTGTAGTTAAGTAGTTGTCGGGTCAGTCAGTTTCAGCACGTAAAAATGTAAACGCGTGTTTTTGAAACTACAGCTTTCAATTCTGTGGCCGATGATGGAACTCGGAGATTTGTATCCAATAGAATGTTTTAACATTATTTTACATATTTAGTATAATATTTTTTTATATTTTATAAGGAATCTATCTCCTATTTTACAACACCCTGTATTTATTAATATTGTATTAATCGAATACCTTCTCAATGGAAAGACGAGGATAACGATCTCGTGCCAAAGTAAGGAACACTTCTTTGGTTCGTTGTAGGAATTCCGGCGAATAACCGGCTAATATATTAAAATTGTACATCCATGAGGAGGAGCCGGCTTTGAACACATTGCACCTGAAAATATTTGAATATAATGAATATAATAAGCACATATATGGTATTTCATTTCAATGCACTAACCATATGATGTGATATTTTTTATTGAATAAAAATTCCCAAGCGTTGGGTTTGTGCCAGGTGTCGTTACCTATAGGATAAAAGAAAAATGCATATGTATTAAAATAAATACGGATACTAAGGGAAATATTTAAACAAATTTCAGTGCTCTTGGTCTTAGAGAGTTGATAATTAACTCGATATACCAATTGATCAAAATTGACTCGGACTGACAAAGCAAGCATGCCAACGCTTAATTCAATTTTCCAAACACTTGTTACAAGCTTCGACTGGGAACGCCTTCTGTGCTTTCAGCGAATTTCGGAATTCTCGGTTCCAGCTCATTTTTGTAGCGAAATTCGCTAAATTGTTGGCCATTTTCGACGTTATATTCATAAACCCACGTCTCATCACCAGTTATGATTGGTTGGATGAATGTAGGGTTATCAGCTACGTTTTCAGGCATCTCTTTTGCATAAGTTTCAGGTATTTCGGTAAGAGTCTAACATTGACAAGCTCCATACTCAAAAGATTAACCAAAATCTGTTGAGTTGATTCAAACGTCGACACGACGATTTTTGAGCACTGTTCTTTAACTTCTTCGATGTTATCGTTATTAACAGAGGTGTATGAACGATTCGCATAAGCTGAGTTATCGATTACTACACGACCTTCACTGAGTGCTTTGTGTCACTCAACTCACTCACTTGTCCGTTCCGATGGAGATCAAATTTCACACGAACATTAAAAAGATTGTATCTACCATATATAGAGAAAAAGTATCCATAGATTCGGTTTACGCATACCATACAGCTTAAATGTACCAGTCCGGGTCAAATTTGTTCAGGTGGTATTGTAATATTTATTTCTCTTAGAACTAACTAACTAAGTGGTCACTTTTTATGTATTATTCTGAGAAAACTTACCATAATATTGGATCATTAGAAAATAGAGATTTCAACAAAGAAAAAGTATATCGACTTTTTTAAAAAGCAAATATTTGGATGTGAGAATTTTCGATATAAAGCCAAAATAAAGTGAAACCATAAATCTTTTAAATTAAAAAAATACTGTATATTTGTAAATATGTATATTATCATTTATTATTATCTTTTTTTCTGCTTTTTTTATTTCGTTGTTTTGTCTACATTCTCGCTAGCAATATTAACTCACCACTAAATATTTACAAACAACGTTTTAAATTCACTTAAAATTATAATCAAAAAAAAAATAGAAAAACAAGTGCTATATTTACCCGCAACATCTAGTCCGAATTCGGTGCATTTCTCTTGCAGCAGCTTCCGCCGCCGCTCCATGCGCTTCTCGATGCGCTCCACATCGGTCGGAGCGAGCGTGTGCACGGACTCTTCTGGCAAAACTGGTACGCGTGACTCATTAACATACTAAATGCATAGAAAAAGATCAATACAAAATTGAAAATTTGAAAAAAAAAATTAAATAAATAATGAAAATTGTTTGTGCTTATAATTAGAAAGTATTACAAAACTTAACTACTAACCATAGAGCACACACGACGGCGCACTAAAGGGAAATGCATTAAATGTCTGATTTATGGGAAACTCATTAAGCGTACAATATGCATTTGGGGGGCGTGATGGGTGTGGGCGGACGTTGGTGCTGGTGGCTGTTTGTGTTTGGGTACGGTGGAGGTACAAATGTGCACGACGGGGCGTATGAGCAATAAACACGTAGTAAAATGTTGGACGCTTGTTTGGTTGTATATGAACGCTAATGCTAAGAGCGGGGTATGACGTGATTTTGACAGTTTGCGGCTACATGTATTGAATTACCATGTATATATTTAGGTGTGTGCGTTGGGTTTAATGGGGAATTTTTCGGTGACGACTAACACTTCTTAAATACTCGTATAGTTTTTTTTTTTACTTTATAATATTTTACGGGGCAAATAAATAGTATGGGTAATCAAAACAGTTACGCTTGCGGTTTTAGTGTTTAAAAATTATGCTAATATTTTTGTTTGAGTTTTGAGTTTTATATTTACAATGACTACTGATTGCTTTGCTGATTAGTTGCGTTAGTGTGCATGTGCCCAGACAATGTGTGACACTAAGCGTTAATTAACAGTTATGTAGGTATGTATGTAGTTGACTTGCAGCAAGGCAAATGTAATACTGATGTGATATGTAAATGCGTGTGTGTGTGCGTGTTGCAAACGAATGCTTCAAAGTTTTACTTGCAGTTTACATACATACAAACGGGCTTTGGTTTTTACATATGTACGTATGTTTATATATTTGTATGCATGTGTATTTGTGTTTGTTAATGTACATTTGCAAACAAGTATATTTACTTTAGCATATTTGTAAAATTTTTTGCGCGAACTGCCTGTCGCCGCTATCGTTAGATCCTTATTTTTCCCCAGCAACATTACCGGATAACGAAAACTTTGATCACCGAAATGATCGTTGAACTTTGTCGCCTAAAAAATTATACGATAATATAAAGATTATTTGTTGTGTTATTATTGTTGCAACATTTGCTAAGTGTGTAAACATTTCATTGTATTGTACGGAATTTTTACGCAAACGTATGCTTACTATGTGATTTTTGAAATTTTAGCATATTGCAAAATAGCTAGTGCAAATACAGGGTGCGAATTTTGTATTGAAACATTTTTGTTTAATAATTTTTGCATTTTTATAAATTTTCATATTCTCATAAATTGCTATACAATACAATTGAGAAAAATATGTGTATGTCTATTTTCACAAAAGCCTGAACTATGAAAAGAAGCAACATTACGAGCAACAATAACTTGTACAACAAAAATTGTGTTCGCGCTGCACGCGCTTAAAATGTCGCTGATGTTTGAATGCGTGTGTGTGTGTGTGTGTGTCTATGCGCGCGAATGTGAACAATTTAGTGGCGATAAATGGCAAAAGAGTTGCTTTTGGGCGGTACGGGGCGTATGAGTGATTGTGTGTTGGTTTGAGGTACGGGGCGTATGAGCGATATAAAGATTCAGTATTAAAAATATTTTACAATGCTTTACCTACATTGTAATACATATGTATGTTGTGCACATATGACATTTCTATAGCGAAGCGTTGCAAAAACTGCGAAGCTGATTGCCACAAGCTTATAATTAACATGAATGAACTAAATGTCGTGGGCGAAAACTGTACGAAACGTCTTGTATGAGTACTGAAATCAGCAGTCTACTAACAAAGCGTCTAATAAAATGTTATTGTGTATATTATGGGCAATTAAGTATTAGTAGTAGCTCATCGTGAGCGCAAATATTTATTTTGTGATATACCTATAAATACATATATTTGTAAAAGTAATAGTTTATAAATATATGTATGTACAATACAAATATATTTTGTGGCTGTTGTGTGTTTTATCGCAATAAAATATTATAATAGCTTCTTCAAAGCATGAGTCTTAAGTTTATAGATGTTTTTTATTATATTATATACAAAGTGAATTGTGTATGATCTCATAAATTTAATTTTAATTACGGAGTGTAAATGCAATATTAAATAAACTTTTACTATAAATATATATGACAAATTAATGAGCATTGAGTTGATCCACATTTACAACGTGAGCTTGATTATTGATATATTTCTGGTTGGAATTTTGCTTTCAACAACTTCCAAGGCTGTTAAAATTGAGTGTTTATGATGATGCGCAAAAGTTTTAGCTACATTGCCAAGATACGAAACAATTTTGAGCCCATTTAATTAAAGTAAATATTTCAAAACCTCTTTAGTGTAAAATTTTTGCCTTAATTATTTTTGGAAAGATTGTAATAGTACTATATATACTTCAAATTTAGCCTATTTGATGCAAGTTAGAATAGAAATTACTAAACCTAGTAAAAAACAAGAAAAATTCATTAATTTCGACTGCACCGAAGTTATAACACTTCTTACAGGTACATTTTTTTTATGCATAAAGGGTATATAAAGATCTTTATCTTGATTTTGATCGGTCAGCTTTGTCAGCTGTATGCTACATTGATCTGATAACAGCTGATCCGATAAATAAGCAACTTCTTAGGGAAAAATGACGTGTGCTAAGGTTTACAACAATTTCAAAAACTTAGGTACTAGTTCGCGTTTTTAAAGACAGATATATATTTAATATGTACTTTAGATCGTCTCTGACGTTTCGTTCTGGGTGTTACAAATTTTGTGGAAAACTTAATATACTATATTGAATATGGAAATATGTACATATGCAGAAAAATTAAAAGGGCTCCAGATACTATTTTCGAAATAAGACCGATATGGCCTTTGAGGTAAAAGTACTTCTAGCTTTAAATCGAAGAGAGACCTGATAGCAGAGCTACATACATAATACAGTGAATTCCATCCAAAAAGCAAAATGCAATATAGGTATGGTAAGAAAAGATATTTATATATGTATATATACAAGTATATATAGTCTCCATTACATTCGCATAGTCATGTACCAATACAAGGTAATGAAGTATGGTTGGTATGTTCATGTCACAAAAGTAGATCAGAACACTCATTGGAAGTGAACAACAATTAGGATCTTAAAACGTCCAAATTACTGCAAGAATAAAACAATCTTTGCTTACAGCCAAGACAAACTGAAGTTATGGAGTAATTATTTCTTTAATTCGCTGAATGGAAACAATAACGGAATGTCCAGAGAAGACTATGAATTTCCGACTAAAACACCAGCGGTTGCTGGCTAATTAACGGCTAATCTGTTCAAATACTTCTGTACGGAGCTGAAAAAAGCTTGTATTAAGCTTTTTGCGGAATATGAACGAATGAAAGTATAGCTGATAATGAGAATGTAAGAATACTCTGCCCAGTCTATAAAAAGTTTAATCCCACAAACTGCGTAATGTTGTTTTAAGCAGTCCACTAAATTTTTCAACGAATATTCTTTCAATCGGAGAAGCCTAAGATTTGTCATATTTTTACCATGCATAAAGTCTTTGAAAAAGCACATAAAGGAAACAAATCGACATTCTCAATTTATTTGTCGTAACTAAAGTCGATTTTAACAGCTTGAATGACGTGGAATTTTTGTCGTAATACCTGCACTTCATATCGTTTTAAAAGATTCATGGTACATCTTAGTAAACGAGAAGAGAGAGAGAAAATATTAAAAAAATTAAGAAATTGCGCGAGAAACTCATCTCCGAGAGCCTCGCGTGACTCTAGACATCCCAGAATGTGACGATTTTCTGTCATCAGATTTCTTAAATTTAACATTGAAGAAGACTATTGAAGTAGAAGAACAAAATTGGTAAGGTACGCTCTTAGGATTATAAGTATCGGCTTGCAAGTCAGAAAAAAACCTGATTTTCTGCGATTCTTTTCTTAAAGTATCATTTTATTTTATTGATAGTTAAGAAAATGTACATTTGCAGAATTTAATGTACTTTAATAATTCAGAAAAATGTTGGACTCTCTCGATACCCAATGAAATGTAATTTTACTATAGAAGAACACAGGCAACCATTGAAGGAAACACAAAATGGGGACTGTCCAAAAAAAGTAGTTTTTGCGAAAAGTTTTATACTTCAGAGTGGTTTAAAGAATCGAAATTATTATCAAAAATATTATTTTTCGCATCATTACCTGACCAATATATATCTAAGAAGGTCATATGAAAATTTCAAGTCGTTCACTCTAGGTAAACTTTTCCTCACCGACTCTGCAAAAAAGCTTTTCGCAGAAAATGTGTTTAAAGTTTCGAAAGTCGATTACGCATTATTTGCCTGATTATATTATTTATATTCAACATATGTAGCTATGTAAAAAAAAACCCTTAATATAATATAATCGGCTGCAGCGTTAATTGTTATTTCTCTAAATTGAATTTTGCTTTCGAAAGAGTTGAAATAATGAGCTGAACGATCGCCAACTGTTTAAAGGCAGCTGTTATTTTGGCTATGACGTGTTGTTCAAACGGATATAGTATTTCGAGATTAGAAAATTCTCTATGCGGTATAGTTAGTGGTAGCGATGTGTTCTCTGCATAGAAAAATGGTAAAGAATTTGTTTTCAATCTGTGTTTTGAATTAGTACCAAATACCTAAGTGACTGGCGTGATTTGTGAACTCGGTCACTATCACTGTGATGGCTATTGTGCCGTTCCATAAATTCTGGAACAGTCTATACTGTAATTTCATTACGATATCTAGGTTCTAGTAGGCACTTAACAGCAATATTTATTCAATCGAATTCATACTATGCCTATATTCAAAAATGTATGTATGTACAATATATACAATAACAATGTATGCAAAAATTACTTTGTATAGAGATTTGTTTATTTACAAAATTTTAAGGAGAGCAAATATTTTTCGAACACGCTTTACCGATAGCAACAACAACAAAGTCAATAAATTGCGCCAACACAACAAATGTAAATTTAAATGGATTCAGCGAAGTACTGCTGGAATGCAATAGCAACAACAATGACGAATCAACAATAAGTGGTAAACAAATTTTCAAAGTGGCGTAAAAAGCAAAGAAAAGCATTCAAAGCAGCTTATATGTGGGCATACGTGAGGATGTGTATGTGTGTGAATGCATATAAATGCAATATACAAGTTTATGGCTTTGCCCCTCAATCGCAGCTACTCGCCCAATGTGGTGTAATCGCTGTCGTGGTCACTAGTGCCAGGGTCAAGTGCAAGCAGAGTGACAATAACTCGTTGATATGTCTTCCTCAAATGTGTTTGCATACATCTGTGTGTGTGTGTGTGCGTGTGTGTAGGTATAGTTAGAGGTCCCGGAAGACGAAAAGTAAAAATATATTTTTTTGCATGGATGAATTAGTACAACCAATTGTGCATGTGTGCAAGCTGACGCTAATTAAAAATGATACACCGTAGCCTGCTTTACAGAAGGGAACTTGCAAGTGATTTCTGTACTATGCTACTAAAGTAGCTTTGTAGACAGTGTTTATAATTAGATCATGTTCGTTTTGTTTTTTTGTCTGATATGTTTTTTACAAAAAGTGCCTGAAACTGTTGATTAAGGTATTTCAAGCTGACTACATTTCTGGTTAGAGAATACCAACATCAGTATTTTGTAAGCTTTTCTTTTTGCTTTGGCTACTCTAACAGGATTTCGTATTGCAATCAATGGATTTTGATCTCAGCTTACTAGAGAACGCAGATAGCAACCTGAGTTAACATTTTCTGAAGCACTGTTAAGAATGTTTCAAAGCATTGCGCAACCAAGAAAACGCAGACAGTTTTTCTTTAAAGATATTTATCGGATTCATACTGTAAAACTTTGACATTCCTGTATACTATAACAAGGGTTGGTATTAATACATAATATAGCTAAAATAGCTACTGGCTACTCATTTGGCAGTGATTAGTAGCTTTTTGCTTTACAGTTGCCCAACGGCTACAATTTTCGCGCTTGTTGCCATCCGTAATAGGAGTGTAAACTTTAGATCTAACTCAGCATATGTAAACCTCATATATTTTAAGAATATAGAAGGCAGACAATTTTTGACATTTATGATATAACAATATGATTTTTAGCAAAGGCATTCCTGAGACATGTTCATGGCTCTTCACAGAAATAAAAGTAATTTAATAATGGCTTAAACGAATATGAAGCATTCGAATTAACACAAAAATTTTCGAATTATTGTAACTTCCAGCTTGCTATTTCTTAAAAATTGCCTAACGCTTCTGCTTAAATCAGTTTAAACTCCCCACTCCAAGTACACCGCTCCACTTGGAAAAGTATTGGCACACCTTAATATACACACCACACCCGATTAAACCACACCACACAGGACAACATAACACACCACAACATGGCACCTGTACACCACCTCTCTAACAAAAAGGACGGAATTATCGCCCTCACGGCATCATTCGCTAAAACATATCCGATGAACAGCTGACACGAAAGCTACAACTTCGTACGTCAAACATCACAGTGGCCACATCAATATTAATGCGATTCAACAACGCAACACGGTTGTTTCGCGAACGTAATTGTGGGATCCTCACCGCGTTCTGTTTTCGGCCCGAACATTTGCAGCGTCTTTCAAACATAAATTTAATTTATTAATAAATGATTTAAAGCTTGTAAACTCCTCAACAATTATAAATTAAATTAGTTTGTTTATACCCATTATTCGGACATTTTTATTTACGATGTTTTGTGCAAGTGTCTAAATTTATCAAAATGTTATTTAGCAGAGAGAAGAGAGAGAATTCAACCATGAAATCAGTTTATGGCATTCAAAGAAAATGTATTTATAATATGTATATATATATTTAAACATGTATTTGAGTTAATAAAAATATTTAAATATGCGAAATCACAAAAAATGTTCAAAAAGGCCTCTACGGGCGGGCATAATACTTGCTAGTAAAGTACGAATTTTTTTAGCTTTACATAAATTTTTGGAATAGTTAAACTGTAAAAATTTAAAATTTTTGATTGAAAAAATGAGCAGTAAATTTTTTAGCAAAATAAATTTGCAATAAAAAAATGCGACTGCGAAGCTATAGTTAAAATGTTAAGCGAATATATGCGATAGTCGCCGAGTATCGTCGGATCTGGATTTGAAAAATGCAGTTTCAAGAAAAACACTTTTAAAGCTTTTCATGCGATAGTTTTTTCACTATTCTACCAATTGAATCATGATTTTAGAACCTAAAGCGCATTTTAAGCTAAACCTAGTTTGAACGGAATCTTTATGGAATAAAAGTACGATCTAAACTATCTTTTCGCAGATTGTAGCCTTCCGATCGATATATCAAAAACTGAAGGACTCGTCCGCGTATATACAGACAGACATACAGACGGACATGATTAAATCGACTCAGCTGATCACTTATATAATATAATTCTGTTTTAACACGGTAGATTGGTTCCAGAAAAAACCGTAAAAAAACTGTGTAAATAAAGATGTTGAACAAAAAAAGAATTCCCCTAAATTTGTGCTATTTACATTTGCTTTGTCCAGTAAACGTGCTTCTATCCAAAAAATGAAGATTCCTTTAAATTTGTGACATACTTGTAAACATTTTTCGCAAAAATTAAATCTGATAAATAAAATTTAAGCCCAAAAAATTTTATCAACTATATGCTATGGTAACTCGATCTAAAGAATTGCTTCAGAGATTGCACCGATGCCTTGCACAATAACTCATGCCAAATTTGATGAAGATATTTCGACAAATGAAAAAAGTTTTCCATACAATCTCTTAATTGCAATCGTTCAGTTTGTATGACAGCTATATGCTATAATTGTCCGATATCGGCGGTTCCAACAAAAGAACGAAATCTCAAAAACTGAAGGATTAGTTCGCATATATACAGACAGGCGGAGATGGCTAAATCGACTGAGCTCGTCATGCTGATCATTTAGATAGACATATTTTTTATAAGGTCTTCGACGTTTCCTTCTGGGTGTTACAAACATCGTGGCAAAATTAATATACCGTATTCAGGGTATAAATGTATATAGAAAATCCTGCACTCGCGCAAGCATATACTCGTACCTTATACATATATGGTAATATATCTAATATCATTGACATATGTATATACATATGTATAAATATATATATGAGTTTATATACCAATCCATATACATAATACATTTTTGCGGTAAACAATTTTAGTAATTACTTTGGTTATTATTATTATCTGCTTCAAGAAAATATGGTAGTTAAGAACGCATTAGCATTACCTTCAAAATAAACCTTATCGCTTAGGTAAATATCTTTGTGCATAAATTTAGAAAAGTAGGAAAGTTATTTGAATTTATTTTGCACTTAAATTTACAAAAATTGCTGTTTATGCATAAAATATAAATATTTATGAAGGAAAATTAGAACTTTTACTTTGCTCGCTAATTGCAGTGTTCAGATTTGCTTTAAGCGCTAGCGGCTGTGAATAGCATAAGTCCGTTAAATTAATTAAGAATTACGAACACCAGTCCAATCCCAAGTTATATTGGAATAGAATTTTTATACATACCTTCTGTAATAGTTACATAGAATATACATTCTTTTTTGACTGTTATTGAGCAAATATTGAATTGTTTTATAAATAAATCGTTCTGCCCAAACGATAAGGTGAAAACAAGCCATATTCTGACGAGACTGGGGGCATTTAGTATGCTAGCCTACAATATGGCTATATTCGAATGCACTAACATCACATATGATTCTAATTCTGGAGACAATGTCGATGTCGAGCTTGGACTGGAATCGACATCGATAAATGTCATTAATTTATTTACTTACTTTTACTTAATTTCTTATTTCACACCTCACATAACATCAATTCACACCTCATTAATAGACATTCAACCGAAAAAGTAGTTATGTATACATTTATATATTGTACATACACTATTGTATAGCGGTAGCTTGGCAACGACGTGTGACGAAGCTAATGTTAAAGTTGTTGTGTACCACGAAGCTCGGAGATGTGCTAAAAATATTTACAAACTTTTTTTTTCTAAATTAACGCTTTTAATGTAGAATAAAAGAGCAAATTTATATAACAACAAAAAGTGAACACACGCAAAAAACAACAACAACAAAAATATGCAAATATAACTATAGCGATAAACTGTCAAATTTACTTTCAGCCTTAGCTTTAGTGTTTACGCTTTGATTATCAGCGCGAGCGATTATAATTGAGCTTAGCTCAAAACAAACTAGAATCTGCAAGCGTCGAAAGCTTAAACATAATAAATTGTAGGTGTGTTGGCGAAATTGCGATTCGTCACTAATTACAAAAACATACATATGTAATGATAAGCTAACATATGTGTGTGTTAATATATATACATTTCTAAGGTGCACTCACCTCATAGCCTTTGATGCGATAGGCCTGGTCCAGGCGCACTACATAGACGAGCGCCAAAGGCAGCAACGCGATGGCAACGAAAATCAATATATATCGCCGTATGGCGCGCCAATATGGGCTATTAAATCTCATTTATTTAACCGGCGTTGGCCGCGATGACACTACAACGCCAGTTGTTGTTTGCTGTTGTTGTTGCCGCTGTTTTGATATGAATTGCACAACATGCGGTATAATTTCCTTGTAACACCGTTATTGCTTATGTTTTGCGTGTATATCTTCAAGCGCTCTTTCTTCTATTTCCTAGTTGCTACAATCACGCTACAGACAATAGCTGAAAAACAAGATAATCACAATTAAATTCATGAATTGCGACGGAATACAATCAGCAGCCAACTTTGGCTTGTGCTCTCATTGAACCCAGAGCGCATAGAAATGTGCAAGTATGTATGTGGAGAAAAATCACAAAAAATGCGCGATTATTAAAACGGAATTGTATATGAAATGAATTTAACATGAGTGCTTGCTGGTATGTTTAGTGTACATCTTTTATAGTCTTTCCGGATTTGGAACCCATAACCCATAGACTATTCATGCCGGCGGCACTAATTACAACAAGCTGTCAAACTATGTATCTATAAGGCGTCCCCAATTCACCATGCGATAAAGAGTAGTGAATCGAACAAATTATAACAGTAGTTCGAGCAGACTGCTTGCACTTGCGATATCATACCATCTGTCTATGTGCAAATTTGTTTCTATGCTATGTTTGGTGGAGAATGCTGCTTTTCACATCAAATATCATTTTACTACAAATCCCATTGGCTCGAACGAGTAGCATCCATTCTTAATGTAATTTAATGGTGATGTTTTATTTCATGTTTTAGGTGAAGCCAGTGTGACCGTTAATTAAAGGTGGTTTTTACTATTTCTCAAAGAAGATTGCATTTTGAAACATTTAAAAACTTTGAAAGAATAATTATATAAAAATTTTATAATTTTTAGTGATTCGCTATTTCACAAGTTATTAAACAAGTTCTCCACTGCTGCAGTGCTGGCTCGAAAGACTGGAAGATTATTGTACAAAAAACCTTTACAAAATAAACAGTAGCAAATTAAACGATCAAAAGATTTGACTTTGAGTTATAACAGCAGACAATTTGAAAAATGTAGCTTTGAGATAAACTGATTGAACTGAACAGCTACACCTTAAAAGGCTTTAACTCGAAAAATATTTGAACTATTCATTAAAAAGGTTAGTACGATATTTTTAAAGGTTAAATCATTGAAATATGGTTTTTTCGAAATTCCATTTTGGGTGTGCCGCTTAAGGTTTTAAAATTAATTTTAAAAAATCTTTGTATATCAATAATTGACAATAATTTGTGATGTCAGCTATTTAAAATAGTAAAACTGGTCTAAAAGCTCTAAGTCTCTTGAAGAAAGTCATTATATCACATTAATGAAGCATCCGCACATCCTCCTGAAAAAAATCTGCAGTTAAGATCGTGGACTTTTTCGGCCACAAACCCAAGGGTTGAAAGAAAAATAATTTCATAGTCAGCTAGTAAAAACTATTTACCTTTAAGAGCCAAGAAAGAAACCCCTTTTATTCTTTGTGTGTAACCCTTTAGAAAAGCTGAACTATTCTTTCATCTTTCCTTTGCTATTTTGTTTCTAATTTACGACTACTTCATTTTTCTAAAGCGAAGGAGCATTTCATAACCAAATATTGGGCTTTTGTATTACTAGAAAAATTATTATATATTTTGTAGTTATTCAATCTTCGAAAAAAGTATAAATTTTTTTAATTGACTGACTTCAAATGGAAAATTTTTAAAAAATCAAGTATCAAATGTCCACTCTTATGTCTGGGTTTCATTGTGTCAAATTCAAATTAATTGACAATTGTACAATTTCAATGCAATGTGCTCAAATTGCATCGAGAAATGTGATGCAATTAAGTTGTCAATGACAACTGTTATAACACCTCACACCCCAGCTTGATTGATAAATAGAAATGGGAAAATGTCCAGCAGGTTGCCACTTTGACACGAAGAGACACAATGTATAGTAAAAGGAGTATATTGAGGTTGTGGGTAATTACGGAGCAAAAAGAAAATTATTTTAATTTGAGTAGAGTTATTTTTTTTTTAATATGTCAATCATGACGGTGTTTTTTATATCCTGAAGAGGATATATTTAGATTGCCCCGATGTTTGTAACATGATGTAAGGAAGCGTCAGAGACCCTTGAAGTATATACATATATAAATGATCAGAGGGACGAGATGATTATCCGGCATAGCCATATCGCCGGCTGTCTGTATACTAGTCCATGACTTTTTTTTCGAAATTTTGTACCCGTACTTTTCTCATCAAGTAGCTGCTCAATTGTAGGAACCGCCGATAACGGACCACTTTAGCATATAGCTCCAATACAAACAGAACGATTGGTATCAAATTCTTGTGTGAAAATTTTTTTTATTTGCAAAAGATATTATATTATAGCTTCGATGCCGCAGAAGTTAACTCTTTTTCTTGTTTTAATTTGGTAAGATTGAAAGTATTTTTTGCGAATAATGACTTCGTGCTTATGTTTGTTATAATTTTCATAACAATAATATTTTTGGATCTACCCTTATATGCTTTAGGTATTGCAATAAATTGCTATATACAAATATTACTGAAAAAAAAATTACACTTTAAACAGCTTTATTTTATTTTTGCCTTTCTCACGTTTATGACAAATTTAAACACTAACTTTTGCACTTCGTTTTAAACTTTGTTCGCTAAGCACATCTGCTAATAAAAGTTTCGACTATTACTATTTTATATTTGTTATATTTTTAGTGGTGATCCAATTTTAATTTTTCGTATTTAATTTTGCTTCTATTTTAGGTATTGTATTTTCAGTTTTTGTTGTTGTTCTTTTATTTTTGCATGCACTTTAACTTTTGCTTTGACATTTGGGTCGAAAATTGTGTCTCCGATTTTACTCACGTGCAACATTTTCCCCACACATGCACATATATGCTTATATATGTATGTGAAGTACTACATACATATGTATGTATATTATATTATTTGATATTTTCAGAGTATAGAAACAGCGGGCCTTCTTTTGTAACTAAGGGCTTAAGCAGCAAACGGCATATTATTGATTTATGAAAGGTATACTTATACAATATATAAAATTAATTGTTGAAAAGCAAAAATAGCACACCTGGCGGAAAAGCTGTTATTTTACATGACTTTAATAACTAGTTCAATAAAAGTATATATGCATATGCCTACATATATAAATATGTATGAGCATAAAAATTGTACATAAGCGCATCAGCTGCGACTTGTCCATGTATTAGGTACACAAATACATATGTATGTACGTACTCAGTGCATACACAGCTTTAAACTTTTCTATTGGAAAATTTAGATTTCTTTTTTATATTTAACACACACATGCACATTAGTTTCAGTTTGGGTTACTTGCCTGCACTTTTTGTACATTTTTTGTTGTAAGTTTCGGTTTGACAAGTTTTGTACACTTTTTAGTTTCTTATATGCACACATACATATGTATGTATTTACACACTATTATATATCTTATTTCACATACACATACCAATGTTTGTTTAAAAACATACTTATGTACAATAGTTTGAAACAATTTTCGCCTCAATTATGTTGCTTATGCTCACAATCGCCTCCAACGACTGAATATCCTTCGCCTAACCCATACACCGGAAACGGAAGAATATTATGTAAAAGCTAGCGCAAAGGTAAGAAATATTCAGCAAACAACCATCAAAATTATGAAAACATACATTTTATTGATTTTTTACTTGCCAACGTTAGCGTTTGACAGCCAACCTAGCCGCGGCGCGATTCACAAACAAACCAACTCATACATACATATATAGATGTATAAGTACATAGCTGTTCTTTGCTTGCACAACTTTTACTGTTAGCAACCGAAATCATTTCACTTGGCTACGAACGAGCCAGTTGGTCCGCAGCTGAGCGCTCAGCGCTTGCATTCATTAATAAAGCGGTGACAGTGGGCACCCGGCGCGGTCAATATTCGGTAATTCATTTTCAGAGTAAACACACTTGAGAAAACAAGTGAAAATAAATAGAAATGTTTTATTTTCGATTTTTTTACTTTTAATTTTTTTTTTCTTTTTTTTTTTTCTTTTGCGTGTATTTTCATAATTTTCGGCGTTGCTTGCTAGCGAGTGGGTGGGTTCACAGCGGTAGAAGGTTGTTATGTTGTTATAAACAAAAATAACTATATATGTATGTATAAAAATAAATCTCTTCTATCGAAATCTATTTGACATTATTTATTATCTGCTACTGCTGGCCATTTGTCGTCATTGCTTTCATACTTTCGTACTAGAACTAATTATAAATACACATATATACCTATATAAAATATGTGTGTGTGTGTGTGCTTGTATTGACTTAGTTGTTTCATCTCATTGCCTTTACATACATAGTTTGTACTTATTTACATATATGTATCTATGGAAATCGTTGCATCGAAAATAGCCATCGGCCTATTGCCGCCACCACTTGGCTGTCGAATAATTTAGCCTGTGCTCGTGAGATTGCCTATCTGTCTCCTCTGCGATGTCGCATGAACTTTTTTCGCAATGCGAGCGCACTTCATATATGCCGCAAAATGTATATATGTATATGTATGTTATATACATACACATGCCATATGCATGTGATTGAGTTTACTTCTGTGCGATTGCTTCAATTATTTATCATTAAAAAATTCAAAATAATTAAAATGATCGCTCAAATCCCAACACAAAGCCGGTAGTTATACACACATGCACATACATATGTATGTGAACATTTCCACGTATGCACATACTACATATATATTGTACATGCAGATGTTTGTAAATTTGTAAGCTTGTCGTATAATAGCAATGAATTGATTTGTTGAAATATACAGTGTCGTGCATTGGAATGGAAACGGTATGGGTAGTTGGAGGCTAGCAACCAAATAATAAAGGTGGTTATTGGAAATCAAACAAATTTTGTTACTAAAAGTGGTGAAGACAGTATCAAAAATAATTGTGAGTAAAAAATTTAACAATTTCTGCTGCGAACGGCATTTTGACAATATTATATTTTTTATTTTTCGATTTGTTTTTTCGTGGTTTTCTTAAAGTTAATACTTTATTTTGTCCTTTTTCCATAGATCAACGATATGTAAATTCATCAAAAAAAATATCGAAATTTCGCTGGTTATAAATGCTATAAAGAATAATTGTAGGCAACGTCACAGTTACAATAAATAAATTTAAATTATAGAAAATAACATAAATAAAAAATTTAAATAAATTAATTGTAAAATGGAGAGAAAATAAATAAGTAAATAATATGTAAATAATGTATATCAACTAGCTCAACTATCACCAGTAATTTTTAATATTATAGCAATATATAAAATTAGTTATTATACATACAAGCATCTTTCTGACTAGATTTTCACTTATAAAATTGCATTATATACAATATTATAAAAATTAAAAAAAAAAATAATGTTCAATAAAAATTATGATTAAACGGTCACCTAGGAGAAATTAAAAAAAAATTATTTTCATATTTCGATAATTTATATTTATATAAAAGTATATGCTGGTATTTTAAATTGATGTCTCAAAAAATGTTTGTGTAACCGGCCTCTGAAGTGTTCTAGCTCAGCTATATAAGTTTTTCTTTAAACGCGTTTTTCTCAAAAGTAAAATTTTCAAAATAGAATATCTTTTAGTAGTTTAGGTTCCAGCCAAGAATAAGACCGGAATTAATGCAGCAGTAGAGGACCCAGTTTCTAGCGCCGTCGAAGATCGTATGTACCTCGAAAAATATTTTATGTTTTTTTTCAAAAATTTTACTGTGTCCTCTTAAAATATTTATAAATATAGCTTTAAATTTTAAAAACAGTTTATACAGAATTTTTTTTTTTGCCTCAATTCGCAAAAATCGCCATTTAAGTGTGTCTCTTAAAAAACTAAAAAATATGATTGAAATTTCTTGATAAGCTTAAAAGGCCCGTTTTTGTTAGAGCTAGAGAAATAAAAGCCAATCTCAGAATTAATTAATAAGCTACTATTAATATTAAAAAAAAAATTTAAAACGTTTTTTTTAAATTGCTAAAAAACCAGGCCACAAAATTATTTTGTCATGTACGCTAATTTATTTAAATACATTTTTTATAATAACCAGAGAAATATAAGATTTATGCTGTAAACTGAAAATTTTTATTAAAAAGGCGTTAGAAAAAAGTTAAAAAAAACTTATATATGATTTATATGATTTTTTGACCATATTTTCGGTTTTAAACACAAAAGTTAATATACAATAATTAATTTTTTGATTTTTTTTTCAAATCTTAAATTACTAACTATTTTTAAATGGCAATAACAATTAGCTAAATTTTTTTTTTACAAATTTTATTTAATTTAATTTTACTTGCTTTATAATATAATTTTTTTAGTATTGCGAAAATTGTTAAAAAATAAAAAAATTATGAAATTCAATAAATTAGAAATAAATTAAACATAAAAACCAAAACCTTTATAAATTAATTAAAGAAAAAAAAACTTAAAAATATTAAGCACATATTTTTCTTATATACATACATATGTGCACAAAACTGTTAAACACAGTTTTAATAAAGTTTCCGAATAAGTTGTTGTCGGAATTAAATAGCTTCACTTGTTTGAAAATTCTCAATCAAACCAAGTGTTATTTTTTAAATTAAATAATTGAAATTTTTTATTTCAAAATTTATTTTCGTGCAAATATATGTACATATATGTATGTAGTATGTGAATAGCACAACGTCGTATTTGGCCAAAACACCCAAAAATGAAAGAAAAATAAACAACAAGAAAAAAACAACGGAATGCACACGCGTAAGAGTCAAGAAAACACAATCAATAAAATATTTTCATATTTTTTTTTTTTAGTTTGCTACACTGCTGCTACAACAACCTGCAGTGAATCATTTGGTACATATATTTTTTTTTTTTACATTTCTATTCTATTTTCTGAATTATTAATTTCTTTCACATAAACATTTTGTTGCACACACTAATTTTTTTTTTTGTTGATTTTCAATAATTTGAAGTGCTTACTTTTGGCTTTTAATTGTGGGTTTGTTGCGCACCTTTAACACTCCGTTTTTGTTATGTTGTACTTTGTTGCTTGGTTTTGTCTTTTATATTAATGAATAAATTAATTTGCAACTTTTGCTATGCGCGCTCTGCAAAACGCTCGCGCTCGTGTGAAAGTGTACTGAATCGAAATTGGTGCGAGTACTTTTGATATAGCCAGCAAATGCCAACAGCCGCCGCGCCAGAGTGAGTGGCGTACAAACAAACGTACAAGTTCGTACTATGTGTGCTTCTGTGTGTGTGTGTGTGTTTGTATGTGGCTTCAGTGCCAACTAACATGTGCCGCATATATATAATAAACAGCAATAACAACAACAACTAGCCAACAGACGTGCCAGCTTTGGCTACAGTAGCAAAAGCGCGCAAATCTCACAAAAGCAGCAACGACAAGCCCACTGCCGCCCCGCCGCCGCTTTCTGCCGCGTCTACGCGTCATTACCGTTCATCCCCGGCGGCAAGTTGGCCGTGTTTGTCGACTGCTCCACAAAGCTTCAGCAGAAATGCGCTTAGCTCCAGCTATAGCTTCCACACCCCGGCAAACCCTTCCCGCCCTCAGGCGCTCTGTCTTCATTGATTGGCAGTTGTTGATAATTAAATTCTAGTTGAGCTAATAATTTGTAATTGTTCGCCACTTCATTTTAGCACTTGCTAGATATTATTAAATCGCAATAAATTTGTTCAGAAAAATGTTTCGAAAAAAATTGGCAACAACCCTTTCCCACTCAATATAAACAATTTTGGAAAAAAGCTCGTTTTCAACCCCTAAAATTGTAGGACGTATGTCTGGTATCTCCAAATTGTTGTTGCATTCGTTGTTGGTTGATAAAGGAGCAGCACCTCTTATCAGTAATCGGCATCTACTCTCTGTCGTTATGCTCTCGTGATACGACTTCATTTCTTGCTCTCTGCCTCTCTGGCGCGCCTGGTTGAGCGCAATTTGTCCATATTCTATCTCGGCTGCAGCTCTCAACTTACACATGCGTGGATTATTTCCGTGGTTCACACTTTCTATGTGTTAGTAATTGTTTACAAAGGCCAAAGCTTCCGCTTTATTTGTAAACAAACGGTTCTCAAGCCGTAGAAATCCATGATTTTGCAATGCATGTTGGTAAATGCATCCACATACACATGTCAATATATACATATATGTACTGAAATTGATGGGGGGTGTTAGATGAGTGGAATCCATTGGGCATTGCAATTCCCACAACAGCCGGTTCTACTTTACCGGAATTTACCCGTATTTTCTCCGGCCAGGAGCTGTTGGTTTGGGGATCTAATTCTGTTTGGATCGGCAAGTTTTAGGTTAATACCTGAGCTATCCTTAATTTTGGCTTCGTGGTCCGTCTTTATGAAATAAAGACTAAAACACCTTTGACCTTAAACCTACCTACTAACTAACGGAAATTGAGAATTTTGTCTGCTTTCACAAAGGACTATATCCATCCCACATCTTGGGGATCATCGAAGGAACATAACATATCCTTAACTAGTTTTTGCAATTGTGTTTCCACGTCTTTTCGCCGAAGATCTCTGCAATCCCGTTTTTTACGATTATCTGGTGAAAGACTGCAGGACATTGATAATATTGAGTAACATGAGTTGTTGATGTCACAATTTCCAAATACATTTTGAGAAACGTTACTGAGTTTATAATTGTCTGCCTGGTAAAAATTCTAATTTTTTCAGGTTAGGTAGAATTGGCTATCGTGAAGTCGAAGATATCGAAAGTTGTTGTAGTTATAGCGTCAGAAAAGATTCTCCAAATAATTTTGAGAGATCTGAATCTGAAGTGAAGTGAAGGCTTCTTTGTATAACGTCGTTTGCCGAAGTCAGATTGGTTCTAACATCAATTCGATCTGGGGCTTAATCAATTAATATTTTATACTTGGAAATTTCATATTTTCACGTTACGCAGCTTGTAGAAACTACTACAATATTGGATCTTGACATGTCCGGGGTTAGAACTTTTTAAAGCAAGATTTTATACATTAATTTTCTGCAAAAAAAATTGATTCGAAGTACAGATACATATGTATGTATGTGCACGTAGTAGGCTATATAAATTTGAATCACTAGTAAATCATTGCATACATTAAGGATCAATCTCCCACATACATAGCTTCAAGAATAAATTTGCTGATGTTGCTATGTACATATATGCAGGTGTATAAATAAGTATAATTAAATGTAAATTTTTGAACAAGTTATAGCACTTAATTGTTAATATACACATAAACATACATATCGACATATACATACATACATGTGTATATAATATATAGCTTTAATTAATGGGACAATAACAATCTCAAAAGGTTCACTATCTTGAAAAGCTAACAGAAAAATTAATAAACGCGTATTCTCAATTACATTTGGTTTACTTTATAAAAATATAGTATTGTGTTTGTTGCTTCCTGTTTTTCATTAAATTTATAACAATATATTTCATATATATATTTATGCACATATTTACAATTATTTTAGTATTTTTATGTATAAAATTCTTATTGTTACAAATCCCTGAATATATTTACTGAAAAATTGGTCATTTACAAAATAGAAAAGTATTGAGTTCCTCTGAGTAAAGTGTGGCGTTATTTAACTGTGTCCACATAGTGGATGGTGAAGCATCAGCACTTCTCTATATCAATATTTGATTAGAGAATGTACATCACAATCTAATTTATCACGACCGTGTAAATCTTCTAGTTCTAGCACTACAAAGCTGCCAATTACATTTCCGCCCGCTTTGCGCACCAGCTCAATCGCAGCTTTGAGCGACCCACCAGTGGCGAGTAGGTCATCAACGATGATAACCTTTTGACCCGATTTAATTGCGTTGGCTTGCATCTCAAAAATGTCCTATTATAAAGAAACAATAGTTTAATAAAAAATTAATAAATATCAGTACAAACATTCTTCTTACTTTTCCATATTCTAAAACATATTCCACAGATATTAGGTCACCGGGTAATTTGCCCTTCTTACGAACTGGTGCGCAACCAATACCTAATTCGGTTGCTACTAGAAAATTGAATAGGAATCCACGTGATTCCAATCCAACAATAATTTCAGCGTTTGGGCATTTTTCTTTAACTAGTTTTACAAGCACTTCTTTCAAGTACTTGCAGGCAGTTGGGTCGCTCAGCGCACTGAAAATGTCACTACAAACAAAATAAAATTTAGTCATTAGAAATTTATGATCTCATCTGAACTTACTTACCGAAATACAATGCCTTTCTTTGGGAAATCCGGAAAAGTTCCAATTTTACTTTTAATATACTCCAACTTTTCATCGTTGCCCATGTTTTGCTGCAATTAATATTAAAAGTACTGAAAAAGTGTACAGTGCTTGTGTTGGAATGAACTGATTAAAAAAAATATTTTATAAATGCTATGAGGGAATTAATGTTCCTCCTGTGTTAAGTAAAAAATAATTTAGCGCAATTATCAAATTTGACATTTTTAAACAGCTGTTACTATTCTTATCAATATCGTAAAACTGGCCCTGCCGTATTCTTATATTACTATTAACTAATTTACGATAAACACTCATTTACGATATAAGCATATTTGATTACAATAAAAAACTACGTTTTCAGGTGTTATTTCACATAGCGAAAAGTACAAATTTGCCTCAAATATCTATTAAAAATTTCATTGTTTTAATTTATGCTCAGATAAGCCATGGCTGAATTCATTGTAGTTCGTATATGCTCAAGAAATAACGTGAAGAACAAACCATTTGTTACACACACATCAAATTACAACACTGGTGCACGTGAACAGCTGATTTGAAATCAAACAAAACATTCAACAAACCTTCCATGTGCGATTTACAAATTTGTTTAATTTTTTGTTGTAAATATACAAATCACTTGTTCAAATATGGGAAATTCAAGGCCTAAAGGGAAAAGTAATAATGCTTTTAAGGGGCACCAGCAAAATAAGCGTAAACTTTTAAATAATGGAAATTGGAATTATAAGTCTAATAAATCTAATTTGCCGAACACAAACCAATGGCGCCGGAAAAAGCCACAAGATGAGGTAAGGATTTGCACAGTTGTTAAAATCAGTTTATTATTATAAAGAAATTTATTATAAATTTTTTTATTAAAGGCCAGGAAGCAAAAAATAAAGGAACGCGAAGAACTAAGAGCGCAAAAAATTGCAGAATCCAAAGCTGAAAAAGAGCGTGTGCAGCGTGAAAAAGAGGAACGCGTACGTAATTACAAGAAGAAACGTTTAGAGAAAACAAAAGTGATCAGCAAGAAAACCAAACGCGGTCAGCCGCTAATGAAGGATCGCATGGAATTGTTATTGAAACAAATACAAGAAATGAAGCGTGGGGCATAGTTAAGAACCATAGGCAATAAGAAATAATTGTTAGGATTAAATAAGAATTTATTACGCAAACCAGAAATAAACATATTTCCCATCAAGATTTATATATCTAGTGTTATATTTAATGTTAGAAAATAAATAAAAATTTATTAATAAAAAAAATAAACGATAGTATTAAGTGCATCTGTCGCCTTTTCTGTACTTTAATTAAAAATTCAATAAATATATAAAAAATTAAAATAGTAAAAGTATTGAATGCTTATGGAAATAATCTTTTTAAAAAACTAAAACTTACCGATCCAAACAAGGTTAGATCTTTCTCTTACTTTATGTTTAATGTGAAATAATAAAACTGCTTTCAGTTATTTAAAAATACATTTGCACATAAGGCAGTTGTAAAGCTTGACTAACACATCTTGACCCTTAAGTCTCATTCATTGCAGGTAAAAGATATTTTATTAATAGTATGCAATGTTATTAATTTCGTCAATTGTTTAGCCGAAAACCAAGTTATATATATGTCAATGCTTGAATTAAATTAACTTCAAACTACTTGCTGAGCAAAATGCAATTATTCTTCGATTTTCTACTCCAAAATTTTGTGGCATGAAAGAATTTTATTTTTCAATCCAAACAGAAAAATTATACATTTTACCAATAAAAATTAAATCTATTTTAATAAAATTGCTTTATAACTAAATTCTTAAAATGGCGCAAAATTTTCTGTACATGTTCGAATTTGTGGTCGATGATCTGTTGATAACACGGCCAAATCATTGCGCCCCAGAGGAGTACCCCACGTGCTGTGAAATCTCTTTTCGTTCCAGCGTTTTCGTCTCCATATGTGATCGCGAGTTCGGTCAATGCGTCGACGTTTGCGCACCTAAATGTGGCAAATGCTGTCTCTTCTCACTGGAGTCGCCAGTAACGGAAAAAGATCGTCTGCTAATACACATTTATAAGAAAAAAACCGATAAATGCAAATTCCTCGTCGGTGCTACAGACATACCAATCAAGCCACTTTTCGATAAGGTAACAGAAAGCTTCAATATTGAAAATCCAAATTGGTTGGAGCAACTGGTCAAACATACAGCACGTATGCCTGATCCGAAAACACCATCTAAGACTACAGTCGTCGATAATGATTGTGATGACGAAACTTTTGGACGCCGTGAACAAATGTGTCCCACATCGGAACTAACAAAGCGTCTGCTGCCGCTATTCAATATGAAACACATGCAAACCGGCAATTTAGTACTCATAATGCGACTTGTTTGTAATGGACCAACGATTGTATCCAGTTTTCCATTCTCACGCATTTGTTCGACGGCTTGTGGTAAAAAGGTTACACCATGCCCATCTACTTGTCCGGCCATAGCATCCAAGCCACAAAGTGTATGCCCAATGCCAGATCCTTGTGCACCGGATCCGGAAAAGAAAAAACCCATATGTCGTCGCTACTTTGCTTGTAATGCCGACAAGGGTTGTCCTTGCGAAGAGTGTGAAGACTATTGTGACAGGGGTAAGCGTATGGTATATTTAATAAATATATATTTATGTATATCTAGTTTATGTATGTAGAATGTCCCAGTGGTTGTAAGAAAAAGAAAAAGCTACCATCGCAAAATATTTGCTGTCCACCACCGCCGCCCTGTTGCTCTCCGCCGCCTTGTTGTCCACCGCCGCCTCCATGCTGCGCGCAACCCGACCCTTGCCAACAAAAGAAGGAACCGCGCACAGATATGTGTCAACGATACTTTTCCAACGAGCCGAAGGGCTGCACCTGTGAAGAATGCATGGACGAATGCGAGGCGGGTAAGTCCATTCGAAAAGCTTAAAATAGGAGCGGATCGTACCCTTTTTGTTGTAAAATTTTTATGTAAGAAATTTTTTTCTACAACTTACTATTTGCTTTGGTTTCGTTAGTAAAGCTTTCGATGCTTGATACTTCTTAAGTATGCCTTGGCAGTAAATGCAACATAACCTTAAAATCACTCCAAAATATGACACATGTTTTAGCGCTTCAACGGTACGCTCTTTTACCGCACACCCGAATTTTTTTTCCCATAAAATGTGCTAACAAAACGGGTGCGATTCCTTGATTATGTTTTCGTTGCTTCCACAACTTTCTCCTAATTTTTTATTATTTACACAGCCAAAGCTAGAGCATTACGGAAACTGCGCTATTTAATGCAAAAATATGCTTAAACAAATTTAAAATCAAAACAAAAAATGGTTAATTCTAGAACCTTCAAAATTAAACCTAAGCTATAAAAATTAATATGAATTTCTTACCATAAAAAACATATAAAAGGGTATGTTCTTCATCTTCTCCTGGTATTTGGTTTGTTGGCACCAATAATTCTCTGAATTTTATTTCTACACATTAGGAAGCAGCGAAGAAGAATCGGATACTTGTCAACAATGTGTTCCACCACAAATTATGCCGCCTTGCTTTATTGTTCCCACTAAGCCCGAACCAGGCCCTGAGGCCTACGAAGAGTTCGAGGCTTGCCTAAATGGTAGTGGTCTGGTAATACGTGTTCTCAAGAATACGCATCAAGTGGAGAGCATTGATGATGGTGTTCAGGATAATATTGATAGTGGGAGTGATTGTGATGGCAAGAATAATGCGGTAAGTAGCTAATATTTGATGAGAATAAACTTTTTTTTGTGTACATATGTACATGGAGCTTCTTTTGATCTTTCTGAATAACTATATATACATGAATATAAAAATTTTATTTTCCCCATAGAGTCTGTTGACTTTGCTATTAGTTAGTTCACACTTTTGAAAGAATAAATCTATCGAATTCGTCCGAAAAACTTTGTTGTTGTAGCAGTAGAATAAATTTTCAAAATAGTTTTCAGAAATACTTCGGAGTTGACAGTCCTTGACCCGACTATCTTGGGACAGTGGTCGTTCTTTGTGCCTTATGGCCCGCGCCTCCATATACTTAATATTGTAAATTACATAATTTCGGTTTGGTGTGGTAACGGTAATTTGTTAAATCGGTCGACCAATTACCCCAGCTGTCGTATACTGCGTATAAAGATTTTCGTTATACTTTCTACCGACTATATAATGAAGTAACACCCAGCAGGAGACCCTATATAAATGATCAGCGTGACAAGCTGAGTCGATTTTGCCATGTCCGGCCGACTGTCTGTATATACGTGAACGAATTTCTTAGTTCTTGAGACATTGATATGAAATTTTGCAACATATTTTTTCTCTCAAAAGCTGTTTATTTGTTGGAAAAGCCGATATCGGACGACTATAGAATATAACTGATTTACAAACTGGCAGATCAAAATCAAGTCTTTGTTGGAAAAACTTCTTTATTTAGCAAGATATCTTCCCAAAATTTGGCATTGATTAATGCTCAAGACAATACTGAAATATCTAAACATATTGTTTAGATCGGACCACTATAGCATTTACGTTTTTAGATTTAGTTATACATATAGTGGCTATATGAAATGCACCTGTAAAACTAACAGTTTATCTTGTTTTTTTTTACAGGATAACAACAACAATCGCTGTGAAACCATAAATGAAATACTACAACGCAGCAATTTCGCCAAAAATCACGTAAAACGACGCACTAACGGTCACATCATCAACGGACCGAAATTACCAAAAATCCGTGCCAATATCAAATATGCCGGCAATGATTCATGCGAACCAGACAATTACTGCGTGCCCTTCAATAAAATCAAATCAATCTGCAATGCGGAACAAAAACTTGAACTCTATCGACGAAAGGGACCCTGCTGCACAGACGATTGTGGACCGATTGCGCCGCCACTACATCCACAAGATGTCCGTAACTGTTGTCTACAAGTCGATCCTCAGGAGATCAAGGACACTTTGAAGGGCATAAACGCCGATACTCGCAAGAAAGGCATTGAGGTAAGTTGTGTATACAATCGGAATGTTGGTTACTCATAAAACTGCCGGAAGTTCTTGATCAATTGGAAGTAAGTGAATGTTAGAGCGAGTCTACACTCTCCTAACATATGCCAAGATGTATTTAGTGTGGCACGTTTCACATTCACTTTGATTGAGTATTTGTACAAGTCGGTTTTGTGCACCTCATTTTTCGCCACTGATTTATAGACTGCAGCTGAATAGCCCACGTAGTGATCGACTGACTGATAAGCTAACAGCATCCACGAACTCTTACGTTGGTTCAAAAATAGACACTCACACATACACACAGGTTTTTCGATTGCATCGACTCGTAATGATTGTTCGTGTTGTTGCATTTGCATTGTGCCGCAGAAAATTGGGAGAAAATGAAAACCGCAGTGAATAAATTCTGTCTTTTGTGTTGTTGTTTTATGAACTCGCCGCCACTTACGGATGTTGCTGCTGCTTTTGCCTTATATAAGTAGCTTTTCTGTGGAGCGGAATGTTTGTATGTATTACACAGATAACAATGACGCACATTTCTATGATATGTATGTGTGTATGTTTGTACTCTAAATGCACTTGTTGCTGGGTCATGCAATACGCTGGAGTTGTTTAAAGACCCTGCAGGGAAATTTTAAATGAAAATGTGGCATAAATTCAAAGATAGCGTCGTCGATAGTAAAGTCGGTCTATGTATTCGCCGATGGTTCTCAGTGTGAAACAGATGAAGAAGCAGGGTTCTTCTGTGGTACGTCTGTGGTTCTCTATAAACTATCCTTTAGGCCGAGGTCGACTACAGCGTCTACTAATAGGGCATGTTTGTTAATGGATTTGTGTCAAATTTTGTCAGCGTGTTCAGTAAGGTTTGCCATTTCATCAAGTCACGTTTTACTTTGGTACAACGCTTGGAAATTGTCCAAGATTGTTACGCAACTTTACGTTCTTTGAAAAAGTTCACGTTCACTGAAAAACTCTCGTTAATTTCGAGAAATGGTTCAGTCAAAGGACCGCCCAGATCATGCGATTAAGCGCCTCCAAACTATTTTCTTTGGGGGTATGTTAAATCAAAGTCCAATCAACCAGCAATGCTCAAGGAGCTCGAAGACAACATTGGCGTAAACGGGTGGAGACATGAAACGGAGCCGTTGTGGCCATTTAGCCGACATTTTGTTCAAATTATAAATGACATAAAATTGTCTGCATAACAAAAAACTTCACTTCATTAGTTTGGGAACTAAACTGGGCCAAGTCAGTTGCGGGTGAGTAACGCTACTTTAGAATATCTTTTTTCAATTAACTGGTCCACCTGCCTGTTCACAAGTCATCCCTAGAGGGAATACATAAGTCGTACTATATATGAAAGGCATTAATCTCCCACTTCTCCTTTCATGCATTTCAGTATGATTCAATTCCATTCGATTGCTTTCGTTCGCATGACATCGCCAACAAATTCCGTGGCACAGCAATTGTAGCAAGTCAGCCAAATCAAAGCTGGGCCAATGCAATGCCATTAAAGCCACCAATCCAATGCAATTGAATCTTATTGTATGGTATCTAGTCGGAGCACCGATTTGTCCCAGTTTGCGTGCATTTGTTTTACTTTTTCATTTCAATTCGCGTCCATCGTTTTCCACAAACACTTTTATTACAATTTCATAACATGCACACATACATTTGTCCGTATATCCACCATATATTGTGTCTTTATGCCACATGTATTGCATAAGTGCTCCATTTATCGGTGGTTGCAATTAATGTGCAGGTTGCTCTTTTCTACTCTAGCAATGGAAAATTGCATAAGCTTAAAATAGCGTTAAAATCTTAAATGGTATTACATAAATGCTTGGGAAGTAGCCTAATATTATTGGGTATGAGAGCAAAATGTTTAGGTTCATAACTCTAAAGTACAGTTACTGAAGGAACGTGAAGTAAACTTGCGTTTAGTGCGAGGAACTTGAGAACATGGCCCGTGGTACCGGAATATCTTCCACCTAACTAGAGACTTTAAACCCACGCTTTGTTCCTGTCAACACGAAGTTTTATTAGCCATATCTGGGCTTAAAAACAAAAAAGACGAAAGCGCCGCCGTCCGGCTGAGCTAATCAAATACGTTGACGAGGAGCTGGCATTGCGCATGCATCAACTCCTCTGCCATATATGGTCGGAAAAAGCCCAGTGGCTGTAACCTTAGTGTGCTTTGCCTTAGCCTCAAGACAGGTGATCTCGAAATCTGCGCCAACTACCGCGGAATCAGCCTTCTATCACGTATAAGGTTTTGCCGAGCATACTCTTTGAAAGACTGAATACCAAACTGATTGGACCTTAATAGTGTGACTTTCAAGCTGGTAAATCAACCATCACGATATGCCAATTACTGGAAAATACCCAAGGAAAACAAATCGACATGCATCATCTTCTTGTCGATTTCAAAACTGTAGCACAAAAACGGATCAATTGAAAAGCAGGGGCTCTCTCCAAAATTAATCTCACGTTCTATAAGTCACTCATAATACCCTGTGAAAGCATGAGCGATAACGAACAGCGATGAGCATTCTTCAGGTGCATTCGAGAGAAAAGTTTTTCTAAGAGTTCTTTGCTCCCTACGTGTAGTCGAAGCCGAGTACCGGATCCAGCGGCTGCGCTGGAATGACAATGTTGCCCCAGAAAACACTCCAGCTCGCAAAATGTACGATTTGATGTCCTCTGGTGGCCGACGGTACAGTTTGTTCGATTGATGACTCTCGATACGTTTGGTGAATCGAACGCAGCTGTTATGTCAAATCATATTACTATGTTCTCATATAAAATAATTCTTAGGATGTCAACCATTCAATATACTATAGTTTGAGTCTTTAAATTGTTCGATAAATTGGAAGTTCTAGGGATCAAAATACCTTTGTTGTTTTAATATACTCTTTTGGCTTTTATCTTGTTGTATATATAAAGCTACTAAGATTTTGTAATATTCAAAATAATTCCTTATGATCATTACTATCTAATGAAATCCATTTAAAATAAATACATATTTTCCATTTTGCAGGTTTGCTACAAAACTTGCGAGGACACAGACAGCGACGTCTTCTTAGTGAAATTAGGCAATAAACAGCAACATCGCCGTAAACGCAATACAATCGAAATCGAATTGAAGACGCCGAAGCAACCGATTGTGTTGCCAAAACAGAAAATGACCACTGAGACACAGATCACCGACAAGGAGCTGGACGAAGCGCTTGCTGCACTCTGCGGTGGTAAGAAGAAGGGAAAGAAAGGGAAAAAGGGAAAGAAGAAGAAGAAGTAAACTTAAAAATTAACTGATATTTCGCGCTAAAATCAAAATGTATTTAAATTGAATTTTTTACATTCTGTTTAAATCAATAATTATCATATTTACGATTAAAACAAAAAACAAAACAAAAATAACAATTCGCAATTGGTAGCTAAAGCACGCAAAATTAACACAGAGAATAATGCTTTTTTTAATAATATTTTTTGTTTTCATATTTTTATACTCTCGCAACATGTTGCTACTGAGTAGAATAGTGTTGTTCACCTAACGGTTGTTTGTATCATCTAAAACTAAGCGAGTTAGTTATAGGATTATATATTGTATATATTATGTAAATGATTAGGATGAAGAGACGAGTTGAAATCTGGGTGACTGTCTGTCCGTCTGTGTAACCTGTAACTTAAGTAAAAATTAAGATATCTTTATGAAACTTGGTACATTTGTTTCTTGATACCGTAAGACGGTTGGTATGGCACTGCCCACTATAACCCATATCTTGGGATCTGCTTAACCGATTTTAGCGCAAAAATGGAACTCGAACTCGAACACGGAATACAGCCACGCCTATTTCCCATATAATACCATTTTAAATTCCCTCTGATTCTTTCACTTTCCACTATGCAAATAAAGCAACAATGGTTGTAACCAAAAGTGTTCTAAATCGAACCAAAACTGTTTAAGCCCCTAGGTACTGAATATGTGGACCCAAATACCTATAGTTGATTTTTTACCGACACAATCGTTCAATGTGTAAGATATGTAATTAAAATTCATATAATAAAATAAATAAATGAAACTCTCTATAATAGTATGTTTTTGTGTCAAAAATGAGTTGAATCGGATCAATACTTCCTATAACCCTCATATACCTAATATAATTTGTCATAATTTGAGTAAATTTAGTTTACAAATTGCTCTAATTAATTTCACTGGGAATGTAAATAACAAACGAGTATACCATTTGACTTTGCGAGGGTATAAAATTTTCGATTACACCCACACTTAGAACTTACGTAGTTGTTTTAAATTTTTTGTTTATATTTTTTTTTTGTTTTTTTTTTTTTGGTTTTGGTTTTGTAAATACCTCTAAACAGCATTCTCTGCCAAAAGACTAAAACAGTTTTAATGTATTCGGAAATTGGTGAGGGTATTCATGAAAGTACTCCAATAAGCTGGAATACCGTATGTGGCATGAGGAAGTCATGTAGACATGCTTTTGTGTTTGTGTGTGTGCGTGTAAAAGTTGGCTTGTTGCTGCTCGTACAATTGAAATTCGCTCGCCATTTGTTGCCGTACTGCCATTACCTATGGTTATGCTGGTAATATTAGCAGATTCCAAGTAAAACTACACTAATAACGACAACTATTGCCACATATAACAGCAAACAGTCGACAACAGTGTGATACATAAGCGCCATCAAAAGCGTTATGGCATAAAGATACGACTAAGAAAAGTGCTCGCACAATTACACCATTCAACTCGCCGTGGCAACTCAACCGGCTGCTGTTGTTATTGTATACCGCTACTGCATTGCTACGAGGGCGGTCCGATGTGTACTTAGCCTGCAAAAAAAAGAGTGAAACTTTCGTAAAAATTCCGGTTTTTATTTCTCAATACATAGTCTCTTTTTAACTCGATACACTTGACCTAGCGATGCCCCAATTCCTTTAAACCATCTTAAAACTGCGCCGTTTTTACTGCAATTCGGCGTTGAAACGGCGGAACGGTAACCATTTTCCCTTGTTCAGGTAGTCAACATAAATAGATCGCACCTTTGAATAACAGAAAACGGTGTATATTATCCTTCCGATCGATAGGACAGTCCTCACTTTCTTTGGAGCCCGATCACCAGTTGAATTCCATTATTTTGACTGTTTCTTGGGTTCTGGTGTATACCAAAGGATCCATATTTCAATGATAGTAACGAAAGAGACAGTAACATCGCTGTGATGTGATCTCAAGATTCGGTTTATTTTCCGAAGCAACGAAGAAACGTTGAAACGCCTTAAATAAATTTTTGATGGTCGCCATCTGAGGAGCAGAATCCATAATACCGGTACGCGAATTCCGTTCCAAAAACTAGAATTCAATTACCTAACGATATTGTTAGATTCTGCTAAAATCCGCGAATATGCCCTCGTACATATGTATTTGTATACTGGTTGCTGCTATTATTGCAGCTGTTGCATTTGTTTTTGTTGTATGAAAATGCAATAACTGCCAGATGATGGCATTGCGACACTTCTGTTTGCCCACCATAGTAGCAATGGCGTGTAATCATCATGTACATCTGGTTGTCTTACAAATAGTTGGCTATCCACAGCGTATCTTAAGCAAATGTACGCAGATTTTGCAATTTATTTTCGTACCGGCGGTTTTTTTATTCTTAGAAAAAATGCGAAAAATACCGGATCGTTTGTGGTGTGAATTACGATCGTTCAACGAGCCACTTGGCGCTCTTCTGCTCGAAACGCAAAGCTGCTTTTCTCCAGCTAAGCTGCTATCTAAGCTCTGCGGATGCTGTTTGTTTTGACGTTGGCGTTGTTGTTCGCTTAGTTGCTAATACCTGCTAATATTTGCCATTTAAGTACGCTCCTCAAGTACAAAACCAACATTTGCCTACATTGCAGAAGTTGCTACTGCGTGTTTTGCAAACGCTTCACACTCGGCTGGTCTAATTTATTATGCGCAAAGATGTTCACCGGACGCACAAGTCCACCTTCAGGTAAGTGCACACCTACAGAATGCGATGGTATGCACATCAATGCATTAGATATGTATATTTGTAAATATGTACAATATTAAAGTATTTTTTTAGTAGGGTGTGTGCTGTTTATCTGATTTTTATTTATATTTAAGAAATTTTTTAAAAAGTCCAAAGAAATATTGATTTTTTAATAAAACATAAATTAATCAATAAGTAGTAAAATTCCTGACATACTAAAGAACACATAATAAGCACAAATCTTTGAATCATGATCAACAATTAGATAGGATTAAATGTGGATTAACACTGAGCAATAAGGCCTTTCTTTAGATAAAAACACAATTTTTGGCAAACTTCGATTTTATTACGCAATACATTCGCCTACGTTCTTGTAACTTTTTGATATAGTTTTTGTACTAAATTTTTTTTTGTTCCCAATTTCTTTTCAACGTGTATTCTTTTGTGGTCTGAGAACAGAAGTGTCTTTTGGATCAGAATGCGGTGAATGCGAACAAAATGCATGTATGAGTAATTTTGATGTCGTTTTAAGTAGTTTTCGATACATTGTCTTAAAGAAACGGTAAATACTTCGTCAAATGAGGAAATTACTATGCGAATTTCCAATAACATTATAATAGTCCATATTTACGGACTTTTTCTTTCCAACATAGTCGATGAAAATTATTTAATCTCTATCTCAAAATATAGACGCCATAACTTTGCTTATGGTTGCCTCCTCTCGGGCAGTGCACTTTAATGTTTGTCGATTGTCGGAGTGTAATGAGCAATGTTTTACCTATTGTCTTGATAGGTAACGAAAACGGCTTCACTTCGATTGAACATCATACATTTCAAGCATTATTCAGAATCATAAATTCAGAATTTTTTCTGATTGATTGACTGTTCGCTAACCAAATACTCATATGTTCAACACGTTTCTTTGATATACCAAATTTAGAGTGTCAAAAAACCTTCTTTTTACAGTCAAGGAAAATTATACACTTGTCTTTTAGCGAGTTAAGTGTAACTATAATACAATTCGCACTCGAACTTTTTCTTTGCTACTTTTGAAAATGTATAGATTCTGAAACTTTTTCCATAAAAACTGCCTAGAAAGCTTCAACTTTATACTTTCAGCTTGGTGGCATTTTTCAAAAATAGCTTAGCCTGTCAGGAACTATGTGCTATGTAGGTGTTCAAATATCTAGCTAAAAACTGGGACTTTACATTTAATTTAACTATAAGCTCCTCCAAATTTGATTACATTTAATTTCAAAGATTTAATAAAATGTGGCACATGAAAATGAATGTTGTGTGAAAATTTAGAGTATTTTAACGTTTACTCATGTTAAAACGCCTGAAGAGTTAAGCGCTACCAATTGGACGCAGAAGTGTTTGTTAATAAAGAGCTGATACCTTGGATGATAAAATATTAAATGAATGTTTAAAGGAATATAAATAAAATAAGTACTTGTACAGAATATAAATTCCACAAACAGCTCACACCCTAGTACATACGTATAAGCTTGTATATATAAAGGTAGTTCGCTCGGTGGATTCTTGCGAAGAATTTTGCAAATATTGAAACTATGGTATTAGCTGCGCGATTGACTATTCATTGCAAAATTTTATATAATATTTTAATTATTTTATTTGCGTTTAATTGTATTTTTAATTGCTTTGCAATTAGTCGCTTTACCTTTACTAAAACAGGTACATGTGACTGCAAGTGTGCATATTCAGATGACCGAAAAGATTGATGAGCTTATCAGCCTTGACATGACATTACTAAATGGTGAGCCATTGGAATTTCAATTACAAAATTTACAACTAAACAATTATAATACATGTTATTAATCCCAAAAGTGTTGTATGAGATTTATGATAGTTCAAAATAACAAGTAAAGGCATCAAAAAAAAAAAAACAAAAAAAAAGTTAGCTTCGGTTGTACTGAAGTTCTAATACCTTCACAAATACAAAATATTCCTTACAAGAACTTAATTCCGATCGTTCAGTTTTATGGCAGCTATATTCTAACAAACGTCGTGAAAAACTTAATAAACCGTGTTCAGGGTATAAAATATTGTATGTGTATCATTACGCGGGGCAGAAGTAAAACTTCGTCGGGATTATGATTAATACTGAATTCTACCATAAGAAGTTGAAGAGTGAAATGTTTATTTCACAGCTAAAAGTTAGTTCATTATTTCATCTGCAATGACCCAGAAATGATGGATTTATTTCTGTGATACACACCTATATTTTATTGAAAAAAGTTTTAAGTGAGAGCAAATGTTTTTAGCACCTCTATCGACAGTGTGAAATGAAAATGGCGTGGTACCGCCCACTTTTAGGTAAAATCCATATCTTGGGATCTGCCGAATCAGTTTCAACCAAATTTGGGACATAACATTATTTTCATATTTCTATGTTATAGCGCGAAGATGGGCAAACTTGGATTACAACCACGCCTATTTCCCATAAAACACCATTTTAAATTCCATCTAATTCTTTTACTTTCCACTATGCAAATCAAGCAACAATGATTGTATCGGGGTAAAACTTTGCGGTAATAATGCGTTTAAAGTATGCCACCTAGTGACCAAAAATTGTCTCAATCGAAGCTAAACTGTTCAAGCCCTAGGTATGGAATATGTGGACCCCAGTACCTATAGTTGACTTTTTACCGAAAATATCGGTCAATGTGTAAGATATATAATTGAAATTAATATAATAAAATAAAAAAATGAAACTCTCTATAATAGTATGTTTTTGTGTCAAAAATGAGTTGAATCGGATCAATACTTCCTATAGCCCTCATATACCTAATATAATTTGTCATAATTTGAGTAAATTTAGTTTACAAATTGCTCTAATTAATTTCACTGTGAATTTAAATAACAAACGAGTATACCAATTGACTTTGCGAGGGTATAAAATGTTCGGTTACATCCGAACTTAGCCCTTCCTTACTTATTTTTGTCATATTTTTGTTTTCATTTAAATTTTTCTAAACAATTGGCAACCCTTCTTAAAAATATTTGGCACAAAATTTTTTCTTGTACTGGTTGACATCGTAATATTTCATTTATTTAAACAATTTTATGCAATTCACAGTTGGCAACTCTTTCCAACAACATTTTCAGCTGTAAATCTTATTTTTTGAGACAAACTTTATTTTTTCGAATTGAAATGGGCATAAAGTAGAGGTTTCACCAACATTGTTCTAGTCCAACTAAAAATTATTTCCAAGCATTACTACATTATAAGATCCATATACTTAAAAAACTATAGAAAGTGTTGCCAACTATCGTAAAAATATAAACTGAAAAGATTTTGTAAACGTGTTTAAAAGGATTCTAGATATAATGGTCTTCGTTGAATACGTACTACATATATATGGAAAGAATTTTTTTTGAGAAAGGTGGCAACTCTTTAAAATATTTTTTTTATTACAGGAAACATTTCGGTGTACAGGTTTCGATAAAGCTATTCTTAAATTTTCATTTAATCATTTTTCAAACAGCGGCATGATTTTATCGAGTTTGCTGCTTAAGTCTTTTGATTTCACTTAACTTTCAATTATTCAATTGAAATATTTATACTTATCTATATGGTAATTTGTATTTAAACCATTAAATACTCTGTCATTAGTTATTGGTTAAGCGACTGGTTTAATGATGCTCAATGAATGCAAAGATGATATTAAAAATGAAACCAGTTCCAATGAAAAAATTTATATAAGATAATATATGTAAATGTATGAATGAAAACATATGTGAGGCATTGCTTGCACATTGCAATGAGATTTGTAAAGCGTATCTACAATTTCTCACGAGGACCAGTGTGTGTACAGAGGGCGAAATCACAATACCATAACACATTGCGACTAGTTGTGTGGAGAAAGGCTGAAAAATTGCACCAAAATATCAACTTAGCTTAGAAAGAGCTAGCCAAAATAGCACACAGCAATATCTACTCAAGCGAACGCAAAACTTATCGAAATAAGAGCAGACTCAGAGGCTTAAAAATAAGTTCAGCTCGAACACAAAGAGCAAGCAATCAGTTCAGAGAGCGACGAGCAGTTTACGGGTTTTCGAATAGTATCGCCAACATTTAGTACGTCGAAAGCCAAGCAAGCATGCAGAGAGACGGCAGCTCGCTGGACACTAGTGTAAAATATTTTGATTTTGCTTCCAAGCAAGCGACTAGCATTATTTAAGATGTTACCAGCGTGATTGTCAACGCGCGAATGCCAAAAGATCGCTGCAGCATCAATGCGAAGAGTCAAAAGTAGCAATGAGAAACCTGGTAGGAGCACAGCGGCTTCAGTGAGTGAGAGTTAATAAACGAACAAAGTGAGAGAGGGCATACGAGAGAGTAAATTTGGTTGTAATTTTCACGTTTTAAGCTCCGAGCAGAACCAGAGAGAGAGAGAGAGAGAATGCGTGTGCTGAAGCATTTGCAGCTAGGAGTTATCGCGCTGGAATTTCATGGCTAATAAGTGCATTCAAACGCATATGTTACAGCAGCGCTTAACACACGCTGGAATTCATTAATGCAGCAACAACAACAATAATGATAACAACGCTATTGATAAACAATTTCATTATTAGTGAGACTGCTGCAGTCGATTTTAACTACGAACTTTTGGATACAGACCAGCTGTGGCGCGCATGCGCAGCATCTGCATTGCAAATTTCAACGCTTCGACTTAAACAAGTGTAACGAACGACGTGTATCGTCGCGTACAGCGTGCTCAAACCAACAACAACACACCATATATGGTGATGAAAGGTGGTGTGTTATATTTTTTAATAGTTTTTTTCTTTATTTTTTATTGTTTTTTTTATTACTTTGTGTTATTTAATAATCGAAAATTTGACATCGATGAAATATGAATAAACGAATATGTTTTCTGCAGCGCGGCATTAATTAATCCGTTGGATAATAATGACTCAAACATATGTGCATGCATATAAATGGGACAGGTGGAAATCAATAAGATAGTTAGCAACGAGTGGACAGTGTGCGCTTCAACAGCTAAGCGTCAGCGGCCTCATTAGCGCCTTTTGTCGCAACTATTTGTTGTTGTTTTTATATCTTTTTCGGAAATTTTATTGCTCATAATTTGTTGCATTTGAATATTATCAACAGAATATTTAGAAAGCGTTTGATTAGTTGGAGATTTGTATGCATAAAATATTCCGAATTTATTTATGGTCGTCAAGCTGGTTGGACCAGCGCGTCACAAGCGAAAGTGAGAGTGAAGTGCAGTGAAGGTGTTTCAGTGGCGCAGAAATAAGCAGTGGCCGCGGTGAAATGTAACGCGCGTCGCAGTCAGCTGGAACGGAAAAGATACAATAATATAATCTATACAAGTTAGCCAGTCGGCTAGCCTGATTCAAATAAGCTACAGTTAAAGACTAGTAGGCGCGCAGGCGCTTGTGTTGTTGTAACACTAAACTTGTTTTTGTGTGTTACTTACGTAACGCGTGTGTTGTGTCTTCCGTGCATTTGTTTATTATTGACTTAAAATTTTGGTAACAATTTGATAAGCAAACGTTGTATAGTAATCAGTTGCAAGCGCATTGTTATACAACAACAAATGTTATAAAAAATAATATATTACAACAACAAATATTATAAAAAATATAATCTCTTACAACAACAATAATTATAAACACGGCAAGTTTTCAAGTTGCTGTGTAAAAATTTCTACTGCGTTAGATGCCTTAGTTGTAGCCAACGAACCCTGTTATTAATTTGAATTCCGAGCGTCGAATGTAAAGTGGTCAAGTGCGTCGCATTACCGCGTTGCTGTTTGCGGGAGCGCTGACTTTGTCTTGAGCAGCATTTTCGCTACGAAACGCAGCGAGTGGAGCGCATTCCGCGTATGCCGGTCTAACGGCCAGTCACACATTTAAACAGTCAGCCATCAAAAGCGTCAGAAAATTTCAAAAAAGTCATTACTTCATCATAAAAAAATATTAAAAGTAGTAATATAATTAGTTATAAATATAAATAATAATAAAAAATAATTTTAATAACAAAAAATAAAGTAATCTAATGTAAAATAAAAAATTAAAATTAAAACTTAAACTAAACGTGAATTCTTCAGTGCAATATTTTTAAGAAAAAACAATAAAAAAAAATTGATTCGCCATAATGTCACGCGTTTCGATCTTATTCATACTCTTATCACTGGTCATTATCAACTACGGCGACAGCAATCACAGCAGCAACAGCAACAACAACAACAATAATTATAGTAGAATTCATACATTTCCACAGCCATACAGCAGCGCTAACAGCACGAAAATCGTAAATCATCCTGTTTCTGGTTTAACAAGTGCAGTCAACAATGGTAAAGAAACACGCGCACTACTACAACAGCAACAGCAAACATCTCATCATCATCAGCAGCAACAACAGACTGCGCAGCGCGACAAAAGAGGTGAGTTCGCTTTCATTTCATATTTTATATTCTAAATTTCATTCTAATTTTCTGCTCAAGCACCAACACATATATGTGGGTAGATAATATTTATGAGCGTGTCCGTTATTTCCCCGGTTGATTGTTTTGTTTGCAGATGGCATCTGGAGTTTCAGTTTTTACCCTAAAAAAATTAGAAAACACAAAAACAAACGAATTATTTTTTCTCCAATGTTTATATGATTTTGATATTTTGCATTTAGAACATCTACAACTTAAAAAAAAGATATTCTAATACAAAATTTTCCGCTTTGCAAAAAAGACCTTCTTAATTTTTTTTATGAAAACATTCCTTTAAAAGTTATATTATACAAATATATATAATATATATATATATAAATCAAATGTGCTGAGCTACCATGTCGTATGAACAACACAGGATTTATACATTTTTCTATTACAATAGATCATCAATTTTTGAAAGTTGTCGGGGTATTTGCTTTGAAGATAAAAAATTTAATGCAAAGGATCAGAAAAGCGCCTGTTAAATACATGGGTGAAGTAAAATGATTAAAGCGCGATTTAAATTGAAAATACGTTGTTTACGTTGGATATTATTTTTTAGGGCAAAAACTTAAACTTCAGTGAGCGGTCCAGTCAACTAGAGAGATAACGAACACCCTAATATTGTATATACATATAAAAAAAATAACTTTATGTGCGTTTCCATTCTAATGCACCTAAGTCAACTTCTATTTTTGCGGCCATATAGATATGCACCGCGTTTATATTAAATGTTAATTTAAATTCAACCGGGTCATAAATCAAATTGTCGCGACTTATGTTTGCCCGAAATTGAATTTGCAGTTTTAATTCTATTTAATATCACGCTTGGGTTTGGATGATCATAAATTCCACTATTGTTTTATACAAGTATCAGTGTATTGCATAACATCTCCTAACAAAATTAGCACTAATGCTTCTAGAGTGTCTTAAATTTTTTTTATTGCAACGCAGTAAAACAAGTCAAGTTTCGGTTTCCATGTTAACTGCAAAGAAGTAAAAACTTGTGAGGATTTAGTTACTTATAGAATCCAATCGTTTGTTTTAGAAGTCAAACATAAGTCTCATCTTCATCAATTTGTCCTTCAAATTTGACCCGGACTGGTCCATTTAAACAGCGCGTGCAAACCGATTCTTTTTTTTTTTAATATTGTTTTTGTGCGTTTTTTGTTTTAAAGTTTGAACGTATCAATATTTTCTTTTTATTAAAACTTTTTTTGTGCGGTTTTTTAACTTCCCGCTAAGAAAATTGAAAATTTTCTAAAAATCGGGAAGCTATTGTTTTCACCCCATTTTGCAAAAATCGAGTTCTCAACAGATCTCGACGTTTTGAGGGTCGAGGAAGCTTCCCCGAACATTTCTACGATGATGTCCATATGTCTGTATGTATGTGTGTGTGTGTGGATGTATGTGACCCTCTTATAACTTTTAAACGGCTCAACTCAAACGGCTTTGAATAAACTAAACGGCATTCCAAAGGGTTTCATTGCACTTGAATTTCGTGTGAGTTTGGACCCAATCGGACCAGTAGATTTTGAGAAATCTCAAAAATAAAAATTTCGAATTTCTTCCAAACGACTTGACCGATCAACACCAAAAACTAATCAGTTCTAAACCTTGAAAAAACACATCGTTTGCCGCAAACCGGGTCAAAATCGGTTGATTTACTTGCGAGACATTGAAAACGAAAAATTTCGAAGAGCTCAAAAGCAGCGAAATTTGAACGTTAGCGTATGAAATTAGCGGGAAGTTGCAGGGATGGCCCTTGAGGCCAACCGTTTTCCACATTTTTTTTCAAAATGATCCCGAAGGAACTGGCCAAAAACGACATCTTTTTGTAGCATTCGAGCAGAATTTATGACATCCAGAACCGTCTTTCAATGTCTCTTGGGTTCAATTCATATGACATCCAATTTCCTATTCAGCTGCATTTAATTGCTTTGAAATGGCTGTTTCAGTCACTGACAAAGATTTTGCTAGTTCTTCTTGTGTTTACTTCCAGTCTGCATTTTCAAACTTTTTTGAATTGAACAACAAGTTTACTTGCCATTTAGTGCTTCCAATGAAATCGCGGCATCATTGAAAATGTGGCAAAAACGTTTTGAGGAATCTACTTTATCACGAGCCCAAGTTTTTTAGTGGCACAAAGTATTTAGGGAAGATCGTAAATTCAACGCAAATTTGCCTTTTGCAGGTGAATGGACCACCTCGGTTAATTAATACTTTTTATCTTTAGTCCTTAACCGAAATCATTTATTATCCTGGTCAAAAATTTATTTTTAGAAATTACGACGAAATGCTCTAAGTTAATAATAATATCAGTAATAATGAAGATTTTATATTTATATCAAAGTTGTCCAAAACAATGCCCCAAATAGACTTTGGGATGAAATATACTGGTCTGGTAGGCTAATGGACTTTAAGAAGTGACGTAGATATATACAGTAATTATACTATGTATACAAATTATTATTCATATCTTCACGGTTAAAACCAAAGCAGACATATAAAGTGTATATACCATATATACAAACAAATATGATAGCAGTATTTAAGCGCGATGTAAATCACTAAATACTGAAGCTTATCGAAATCTTAATATATGCAACTAAATATAGAGTATATAAATCGGCAAGTTTGCAGTCATACGAGTTTATATACATACATACTCACACCTATGACGCAAAGTTGTCTGCATGAATTACTGATAAAGAATTTTATCAATATGCGCGGAACCATGACTTATTAAGCGAACTGGTTTCGAATAGTGTCTTTCTTTAATTATAATTTGGATATTTTTGTGTTTCTCTGTTTCGGCAGCAGCAGTAAACCGATATTAATGTGTGTATAAATTAAATAATGATGAATAAAAACTAAAGCAAATTTGGAAATGGATATACGAGTATATAAATAAAAAAATAGTTGAAGTTTAAGCCACTGACCGTATTTTCAACAAGTGTAGTGATTTCTTTTTTGAATTTGTATACCCTGATCGGGGTTTATTAAGTTCCATGAAGTTTGTAACACCCGGAATGAAACGTTTAAAACTCCATGAATTATACCATATATAATATATAAATGATCAGTGTAACTAGCTGAGGCGGCTGATTGAGCCATGTCCGTCTGTCTGTCCGCCTATGTATACCCAAACTAGTCCCCCAGTTTTTGAAATGTCGAATTCCTTTTTTCCCCAAAAAGCCGCTAATTTGTCGGAACCGCGATATCAGACCGCTATAGAATATAGCAGCCATACAAACTGAACGATCAAAATCAAGGTTTTCTGTACAAAACTTTTTTATTAGACAAGATACCTTCACGCTACAATCTCTGATTAAATTGTTGAGTTCAGATCACTTTTGAATATAGCTGCCGTACAAACTGACCGATCAAAATCATGATAAAGATCTTTTTATGCTTTTTTATGTTATAAGAAATGCACTTGTGTAGGGTATTATATCTTCGGTGCAGTCGAAGTTTAAAGTGGTTTTGTTTTCTTACGATATACAGACATATTTAAATATGTAAATTAATTTTGGTACAATTTGAACGCACGAAAATTGATTTTTTTTTAATTTTAAATTTTTTTTATATATTTTACTGTTTATAGTTTTTTAAATTTATAATTTCTTTATTATGCATTTTCGACTGAAATTCTTGGTCGTATAGCTATTCTTAGGTACACTGCCTTCATTTTTTATTTTTGCAAAGTTCGTACATTGAACCTCTCAAACTTAGTTGGTCTTGCTTAAACTATCTAAAATATGCAAATTCGCGCTGGTGTAATACATTGATACTGGGGACAAATAAAATCTTTGGAAATTCTTTGGTATATTAATAATCAAGCTATGCAAATGGCCCTATTGTAACAATAGCATCTTTTTTCGGCTTGTGTGCGTTGATCACAGTAGCTGAATGAAGTAATCGGACAAACTACTAAAGTTCGTTCAACTCGTTGTTGTTGTATGCCAATTAACTTAAATATTACTAATAATAGTAATTATAGTGGAATGAAGTAATAAGCAGAGAATAAATCATTAGCGCAGACCAGAAGTGCGTGCAAATAAGTCAAATGGCCTTGAATGTGCTAACAAATTACTTTTGATTGTGGAGCTTTGTTCTTTTTTTTCAAATAGATTAATGTGGTCAAGCATAGCTCCAACTATTTAATAACATTTTCGCAACATGTTTGATAATGCAGTTTTTTCGTTTCTACTTCTTTTTTATTTTATTTGCGTGTAAACTAGTATTTTTTGATTAATTTTTATATATTTATAAATAATTTATTGCTTTACAAAAATTGTTCGTTCCTATTTTGTCACATTCGGAAAAAATCAAACATGCACTAATTTCTAATAAGTTTGTTAGAGTTTGCATATTTGCACTTTTTAGAATGAAATGTGTTGTTCAAATATGTCTCTATTTATATAGTTGTTTAAAATTTATGCGTCAAGAGTTTATATTGCATTAAGATAATCTGACTGAATAATAGATAAGGTAAGAAAGCTATTGTATAAAACTAAGTTATTTGTATACTAATGCAGGTTATATAAACAAGTATTTTTAAAATAGTGAAAATAGTGGCCATATTTGACAAATATTTACAGACAACTGCTATTAAGAAAATATTATTGAGTCCAAGGTTTTACAACTATGCTTCTTTATCTCAGTACCACTTCGTTAGAAATTTGTTCGATCCGAAGTCAAATATAGAATGCAAGAAAAAAAAAAGACAGTGTAATACCGAAGATTTAGCACTTCACTTTTGAATATATATATTTCTTATTTCAGCCTTAGGTGAGCTACCTTATCTTCTCTCAATTATGGACTTATGTCAGTTTAGATTGTTTAAATTAAATTAATCTAACAAAATTTGTATCTTAACTTTGATCGGTCAGTTTGTATGGCAACTATGTATATGCTATAGTGGTCCAATATGAATAGTATGTATGGAGATTAAA